TTAAAATATCAAAATTATTTCTTTTCGTTCTACGTAAAATATATATATATCTGAAATTCTCAATTAATAAAATCTATACTTAAATTTTATTAGCTCTGTTCTTGTTCATATGCAATGAACTGAAAATTTGTATTTTTAAGTACCAACACAAATGAATACTCTATCTATTTGCATTGGTTCGTCTACCCACTTTATAATTGAAAACAAGGAATATATAAGATGGATGATCGATTCCTTTAAGGAATCTTTGTTGTATCAACTGTTGGTTATTTATAAATCGGAATGTTATTCTCGCCTTAATTCTCAGGACCTGCGGTCTTTATGTAGGTCCTAGTGGTCTGCGTATGAACAACGCTAATACGCTAATCCGTGGTATCACAACGGGCTATTATTTGAGCTCAAGTGGGTTTTAGTGTACAAGGGCGCTACTCCAATCTAACCTGAGCGTAATTGGTATTTGCTATCGATTGAGTTAGTAATTCAATAATTTTTTATTCATTTAATATATTATTAATGGTTTTAAGAAATCCGTTGGTGTAATAACTCCCAAATTAAAATAAAATGCGATTATACCCGCACGATATAGAAAAATATTCTTTTATAGTTTAAAATAATAACTATCAGGTTTTAAAATAGTGTATTTCCGAAAAATAATAAATGCAACTAGTAAAATAATGTATTGATTATGAAAGTTAAACAGTCCTTTCATCAAACTGAAAGACAATTCATGCTTTTTTGATGAATCACATATCGAAAGAAATTCTATAATTATAGTGATTTATATTCTATAATTTATAGTGATTGATAAAACTAATGCAAATAATTCGGTCAAAACTGGGCCAATTGGTTTCAGTTTCTAAACCACCTCTGGTTTCCTCCAAGTAGACACTATTGGTTATAATAGTCGAATTTATTTTGAACTTAGCTTTAAAACAGATGAATGTGGTTGGAAGATCTGCAAACGATTTCACCCCTCTTTGACCATCCCATTACCTTTTTATTATCTTTTATGGCAAGTAAATTTATGTCAATTAATATAATGTAAAATAAAAATAGTATAATAACAATAATTCTCATCATGTTATGGAAGTTGACGTTTTACTTTCACGAAAGAATCAGAAAACTATTAGCCGGAATACAATTATGGGGTAACAATTTTAATTGAAAAATATAAAACTCAAAATACATAATTATTAGTTTCAAGAAGTCCTAATATTTCTCGTATTACATAAATATTATATAGCTATCGTGATATAACAAAACATTTCTTATTTCATTTTTCACCTATTTTTTTATTGCAACGGCATTATTGACAGTAGACATTGAAATCAATCATTTGCCTATTAAATACATAGCATTACTTTCTGACTTGTAAGTTCCACTTAGCCACAATTTGGTCATTGTATTTAGATCAAGATTGTTTTTAGACGACATTATCGTATAACAATTAGTTTTTATCACACACTTTTCGTTTTACAGATTAAATTTCGGTCCATCAATTGTCAGTCGTTTTGATATGTTGCGAGATTTCACATGTCCTGTCCATCTTTTTAAACTTAATTTACAATTTTATCGAGTTTTTCGTTCATAGTCAATCAGAGTGAAGTGTCTTTGTCTCATCTAAAATTCTAGCGAGCAATTTCTTGACAGTTGAATTTGATAAAGTAAGTGCACCATAAACAGCTAAAATCTTTTTACGAATATACTATATTAACATTTTTCCTTTTCTGTTACTATTATCATAATAAAGTGTTAAATATATCAAACTTTTTATCAAATAAATAAAATAATTAGCAGATAATAATAACCATTTCAAAGTCAAGAAAGTAGAAAGCCGCCGAATACTTTTTGCCCACTTCAATACAATCGAAAAAGGCTTAATTTGTATTAAGCTTAAAAATAATAAATATCTTATGTGTATATGAGAGAACTACCAAGTAACATATATCGTTTACGTATATAGTGTCTACATTAATACAAATTAGTCGATATATTTTATCTTATCAATTCAAAGGCCAAAAGAAATTGTTTTATATGTTTGGAATATTTAATTATTTTTTGTTTTTTGTTTTTAATATTCCACTATGGGATATTGTGGGAACAAAAAATAATAAATATAAAACATGTAACGTATACGCCGAGTGCGACCTGCTCTCGCACAATCGCCTAGACTCTTTCACACGACATATTAAAAAAGCACATTTTCAAGTTTTTCGTATACCTCAGTACAGATTTTTATACGTATATATAATATGTATTAATATGTATATGTATAAATCTGTTTGTTTTGTTTCTTTGCAGAATATCGTAGATTATTTGCAGAATTTTTAGTTATCTTCTAGCATTTAAATCGAACAAACGCGCTTATATCTCGTAAAGAAAATATCGCCAAAAACATTTTTCTGCGTTTTTCGAATTGTTGTGTAAAAAAAATTCATAATTTTATGGCAATTTTTTGCAAAATATTTAAAAAAAATATAATTAATTACAATTTTCTCAAGGAAAATAATTAAAGATAAAAAATGAAAAAGAAAGCATAGTGTAGTGTAATAACTAAATGTTGACAGTTACTACATATATATAGAATTTATAAAAATAAAAAACAAATAAAATAAAAGTTAATAAAAACGAATACTCATTCGTGTAAATAAATTATTTAAATTATAAATTTGTTTAAATTTATTTTAAAAATGTGAGTAATTAATGTAGATAATCGAGGCGAATAAAAACATAAATTAAATCACAGCAAACTAAATCAAAACTAACTAAAATACAGCCATTGTTATCTGCTTAACTGCTTCAGTGTAATTTTTTTTTATTTATTTTAAAAATTATATATACTAAGCTTAAAGGGTAAAAATTTTACTCAAAATTTGAATCTATATCTCTATTATACATATTATGTACGGTGTATATTATACTTGTTTGTTTTATGCTGTTTGCCGATTTTCTGTTTGGTGCTGTGTCATAAATATTTTTAAATTTTCATGTCATTTGTTTATTAGATACTTCAACCATAATTCTTTTTTATTTTATTTAAGTTGCACATTTTTAAAATTTAAATTAAAATTAGTGTCTGCGCTAAATCTGGAAATGAAATAATATTAAAAAAAATAAATTTAAACAATTTTTGCCACATTTCGCTATTGCGTTAATTTTATTTCAATATATGCTCTTAGAGTTTGTAATACCATTGAGATTTTAATATTATTTTTTGTAAATTAAATTATGTTTTTTATGAAACATTTACAAAAATGCATTATAAGATATTTGTTCAAAGAGTATTTATTAATGGAATTAATGAATTAATCTGTTTAATTACTTTAAGAGTTGTCAGAAAAAATTGTATGTAGTTTAATATTTTGTAAATGTTTCACACAATAGAACGCTTGATTCTTAGTCCAGCAAAGCATTGTCATTATAGTTGATATATTGTGCTAATGAATGACTCTAATCGAATAAAATGTACCCAACTATTCGAATGAGGTTCGAATATGGTTTGATATTTTGTCAATGTTTAACACAATAGAATACTTGATTCTTAGTCCAGCAAAGCATTGCCATTATAGTTGATATATTGTGCTAACGAATGACTCTAATCGAATAAAATATACCCAGCTATGTGAATGAGAATTGTTTTTTTTTGTGGATTTCCCAATAACAAATGGAGATAGAAGTTCCCGACTCAGTATTTTCATTTAATATACTAATACAGTAGTCGCTCTAAATATAACGAATACTCAAATTAACGATAAATGCATAATTCGTTATTGATTGATTGAAAAGTTATTGATTTAGCAATAACTTTTCTCTCCAATATAAACTTCAAATTCAAATTTCTATATTAAAAAAGTAAAATATATCGCAATCACATTTTCCTGAGATTTAATTACAAATAAGTATATATTTATTTATTTGTAAAATTTTCAGTTTATACAGGTTTTTTTTTATAACTTATATTGTCTATATTTGTATTTTCAAGGTTCACCCATATACAATGTCCCTAAGAGTAATTTTTCTAAAAAATCGTTCGCAAAAATTCACAATATTTTAGAAACGGTTTGTTAAAATAAGTTAGATTAGTTTTGATTCATTAAATATTTTTTCATTTAATACCTAGTAGAATTTGATTTTTAAAATAGTTTATAAATTATCTTAAGCTTTGTAGATATCAAATTTTTTTTAACAAATCGAAACTTTTAAGTATCAGTCACCACTATATTTCTATACTACCGATCTGGTAGTATTTGTCAATATCTAGCAAAATTTTTATTAATAAATAATGTATGATCGTGAAAAGTCTATATCATGTCATAAAAGTCTTAACCCCTTTCTATTTAACCTGACAACTAATTATAGTTTATTTGTTTTTCGGATTATTCCATAACTAACTCTGAATGTTGTAAATCATTATAGTTCTAATATAATATATAGTTTATATTATAGTTCTAATATAATTGCGTTATGTATTATTACTTTTAACAATTGTTTATATTTAATTTGTTTCTCGTGAAATTTAATTTTTTGTAATATAAATTTAAATTTTAGAAAACCATAAGTAATGAATTGTTCTTTTAAAAAAAGAACCCTTAACTTTATATAGTTTTCGAACAGAAAATATGATTTAGCAAAAAATAAATCATATGGAAATTATAGCTAGAAGTATAAACAATCAAAAAAAAAAGACTAGATTAATTAGAACTAATCGCGTTTTTTGTATTTTCGAGTTACTTAATAGAAAATAGACTATCCAGATAATTTAGCCCATTCGAACTTTACGTTATAAATTTGAAAATGATTAATAATTGTTTAATGATTTTAATATTAATTTATGTGAACAATTTGAATAACATTAATTAGATTTTTATTAATTACAAATGGCTTCAATTCTATGAGCGTTTTAAGAATGTTATACAAATTAATTATATGATTTTTATATGATTTTATATATGATTTTATATATGATTTTATTATATGATTTTTTTTTTTTTGGTTTTCAGGTGTGTGTTTATTTTAAATGATGGCCTAAAATGGCGGCTAAACCACCAAAGCCGCCAGGATTTTTATTAAAACGTAGCAATAATGACGAAAGTGGCAGCGAAAGAAATTCTAATAATTGCAATAACAGTAATAATAACGGTAATAATATCCATAGAGTTAATGGTGTCAATACTCTAAGCAATAACTATAATTATAATAATAGTAGTAGTAATAACAGTAACAATAACAAATGTTCAGTGAAAAATAATACTACGGATTCTATACCAAATAATTCAAATATAACAACAACGAATATAGCAAAAGCAAACTGTAATTGCACAAATATAAGTATTATGCACTTATTTCATGAAATGAAACAAGAATTTCCAACCATACCAGATACAATAGTGACACAGTGCGTGAATGAGAACTGTCATCAACGTGATAATTGTATACAAATGTTGCGTAATGAATTGGCTGCAAATCCGATGCCAGCCCAAGCATATCCAGCTAAAGTACTGCAACAACAAAGACAACAACAAGTGAAATTGCAAACGCAACACAGTTTACAGAAACCACCCACACCCTTAAAACCAACACGTGCAGCACCAACGCACCCGCCTATTGTAGCGACGAAGCCCACAAAAAACCTACAATTGACCCAAACGTCGTCCAGAACGAAATTCAATAATTCCCACAATCCTGTGGAGGTAAAAAATTGTGATAGTCATAGTGCTAGTGCTAGTGAAATAACAAATAGCAACAAAGTTAATAAGAAATTCAAAGATGTTTATAATTCAAATAGTGTAATTACACAGAATAGTGTCGGTGAAAGTACAAGTGATATGCCAGCAATTACAAAAACAATAACACCGACACAACGCGCATTAACGAGTGTAAATAGTGTGAGTGATATGCAAGAATGTTCTAATTATGAAACAACAAATAATACGGCAACACCAACAGCCAATAATAATAATAGTAATAATATTAATAATAACAATAATACAGCGGTAACAGAAATCCCATTTACACCACCACAACATCCACCTCGCGCTCGTCCAACAACATTAAATTTGCAAACTCAGCAACAGCGCCAACAGCAACAGCAACAGCAACAACAGCAGCAACAAGTTCTCGAACAAAGACAACAACTACATGTACAACTACAACAGCACATACAGCAACGCAATCAACAGCAGCTGCTACAACAGAAGCAACAATCGCCTCTACCACACAGACCACTAAGAAAAGCACCATTACCTCCTATACCACCAAAACCTTCGCAACTTACCTCGAACAATGCTGTCAGTCCACAATTTCACCACAATAGTTCACTACATTCTCAGCATAGTAGCTTTTCTAACGAATCATCAACTCTCACCAGTCCGATAAGCTCAGGCGAGTCAGAAATATCAGTAAATGTTTCGTTATCGTCGCCAACAGCTCACCAACACACACCACACAATAACAATCAGCTCAAATCTCCCATACGACATCGTTCAGTTATTACTGTACAACCCGAACCACCGTACACACGCGATTTTCTTGTCTCTCCAACGTCAAGTAATTGTAGCGGCATTAATAATAGTCAGAAAAGTTATACAACGGTTAATTTAACTTTACGACAACCAAGCGCATCCGTGCCACAATCAACTATCGATATATCTGCAGGCCCAGCACTAAACGGTAACGGCACCGGGCTAACGTATTCGAGTACGTCGTACGATGCACGTCGCGGTTATCAAAAGAACTTTCATATAACGGTCACCGACGAAGGGGGTGTATTTAGTGCAAGTCGCATTCGGCCACGAAGTTGTGTCTATCCAGCAGAGGAGGAAGAGAACGATTCAATAACTGGTAACGGTGGTGTGAACCCATTACGTACTGCCTCCTCTGAGCATAACGTTCTAGACGCCGAACAACAACAACTATATCAGTACACTAAGCAACAACAAAAACACAATCAAATGCAATTACAGCACAGCACTGTGGCAATCGGTAATGCGCAGTTCAACGATATGTGTTTGTCTAAGGAATTTGATGGTAAATCGAATAAAATCTTTATTTACTTTGCACTTTCGAATAAATGCCAAATATTTATTTGTAATTTATCAATTGTAAGTTAAGTTTATGATAAATAGCAAAAATTATATTGATTTTCTGTTAGTTATTTAAATTTATTTAAATGAGATTATTGCTATTATTGCTAAGTATTTCCACAGAATTATTTTTAAATAATTCTGTGGAAATACACAAAAACGAGGAGGGAGGCACCAAGAGACTCTACACTTGAGTTTACAAAAAAGTGCTGCGTTAGTGCATTTATTTCGATTTGCCACATACGTGCAACAACAGCGCCTTTATTTTGGCCTTGAGTACGGCGGGCAACAGGCGCAAAGGGCTCTAGTAGTGCTGAATAATCAAAATAATTTTTAAGAATTTTTGCATAAGACATTTTGATCGATTTTTCTATTGATTTCGCGCCCATGAAGCACACAATGTAGTGCGTTACTCTGGTAGATTTAATTGTTGTGATTGCAGACATAAGCATTTCTTCGGTTGATACGAACAGTTTATTTTATTTTTTTTTTTTATTTGTTTTAAGTTAAATAAGTTGCAGTTCACAATTACGTTACAAAATTATGTTTCTTAAGGTTTTCAAGTTGTTTATGCCGCAAAGTGGGGTTTGTCGAAGACCGACCATATCAACTCTAGTTATTGGTCAGTAATATACCAATCGATTTAAGCTACCCATTTCTCTGTTTGTTTGCAAATGCATTGTTTATATATATCCGTAACTGAAAAATATAGTAAATATAGTATTAAAATACTGACTTAAGAATAACTGTACTTTTAAGAAAGTCCAAGCATTTTTCTTCTTTTTATACTACAAATAACTAATAGAGGTTAGCAATTACGATTGCTACTTTGAGAGAGAAAAAAATGTATCCATTTTTACTTTTTTGTCTTAAATAGAGCTATTATTATTAACGGATGTGTATATCAGAAAAAACTTTTCGTTCTATATATATAAAATTATATTTATCGCGTTAAGAATTCCCCTTAATTATTTTGGGTTTTTCAAATATGACAAGCTTCCATAATTAAATGCATTAATACATTTTTATCAACGATAATTATGTAAATTACCATTTCATTTCATAAATTTATTATAATACTTTTACCAGTAATATATAAATTCTATTTTATTTGATTGATTAATGCTAATTTTCTATTAAATACTTTTAATAAAAATGAAGTAAAGGTAAATGATCTACATGGACTTAGAAAACTAGTACAATAGATTACAGTGTGGTGGGATATGTGTGGTGTGGTGGGTTGTGGGTGATGTGGTAGGACGTATGTGGTGTGTTTATGAGATTTTTATGCTGGTGCGTTGTTGTTTTTAAAATAAATAAAACATAAATTGACATGATTAGATATGATAACACTTTGATCAAGAATATCTAAAACCAATGTCAATTTTTGTGCTTTCTCATGTGTTAAGAAATAATATTAGAAATAAAGGGCCATACTGGCATCTTTTAGCTCACCATACTTTTTTAGCTCTTTGGCGAAACTGAAAGCTCTTTTCGGTCTTTCTAAAGACCAAATGAAAGATCTGCTATTGATTAGATCTTTCGATTTCAATTGTCATTTTATTTTATATAAAACAAAATACTTAAAATAAATTTTTAAGTTACGAAAATGAGATCAATTTACTTACTTAATTTTTTTAAGTAAACGTAAAATTTTCAATTTTGCTAGTTTCCAGTTTTCATTTTTCCTATGTATATACTAAGTTCTTTTAAACGGAAAATTCTCTTTATCGTATAGAACTGCTGATCCTTGTGTGTCTGTTATTTCTCACAACTTAAATGATACTTTTACATTTTTTTTATTTGATATTAAAAATGGTGATGTGGTTGTTTTCTAGGGATTTTTTAATTTATTCTTGTTTTCTTTTTTCGCTTTAGTATTGTTAGTTAGAATTTTCTTTCCTTTTTTGGTACTGTTAGCTGGCGCATTAACTTTTATTTAATTTCATGTATTTATGTAGACTATGTTAGTTACTTAAGAGTAATTTAAATGCAGTGTGACTTTTTCAAAGAGTACATTAATTATTTTAGTAAATTTATTAAATTATTTTTTTCTTCTGCTACAGTATAGGTAATTTCTATTGCTGTCATAGTATATTTATATGTACATAGCTAATTATTTAATAATTTTAAATTAATGTGATCCATTAAGAATTTCAATAATAACATCAAAAAAGTTTACTTTGTAGTTATTAATTAATATATTATTTTTCAAATATATTTTTTAAACTTGAATTTTAAGCATTTTTTCAAGTTTTTACAACATATATGAAATAAGTAATAACAGTTGTTAAAGAAAATTATAGTAAATAAAAAACTACGTAGCGAAAAATTGAAAAATATCTATTTATAGTCATATATGTACATATACACTAAAAAATAAAACGTCATTATCATTCCATTACTATCTTCAGAGGTTCCCATTCTTATCAGTGCTAATGTCATTTTCTATCATTTTCCTATATATCATATATATATATATATATATATATATGTATATATACATGTATGCTAAATATATATATGTGTGTATATATGCAAAGCTTCTGAAACGGATTAATTTTTTTAAATGAAAATTAGTGCAGTCTGTTAATTAAATATATATTATGATAAGATAGCCAGTTTTTTATTATTGTGTTACGCGTTTTTTTTTGCCTTGTCCAGAACAATGTTTACGAAATATAGTATGGGACTATATTATTGTGAAATTGTAATTCTTATCTTAAATAAAATATATTTGATTTTGTATTAAAAAAAATAAATAATATATTTTTGTGTAGATGTGCAAACGGTGGATAGATAAATTGAAATAAAAATTGATGTCAGTTTTTACACGAAAGATAATTATTTAATTTTTTTTTTTTTGCACACCACAACGACCCTGAAAGACTTGGCAGCACAATTAAAAGGAAAACAATATCTTTGGAGCTAAAAAACAAATTGTTTTTTAAGCTCGAAACGCCTCCACGTCTATCACATTAAAAAGTTTTAATTTTTTTCTCTTCATGTATGTGTGGAATAATTTCTACGAGTATCGTCCACTGATCGTTGTTCTATTTTAATTTTTTGATTAAAAGAGGAATCGATTTAGAGAGTATGAGAACATTTATATCAATGTATATTCTGTTATAAGGAAAATTTTTTGATCATACCAGACCACATATACACATTGTGAATTATGTGCAACAAATGGCGACAACAGCTTTCTACTCTCGTTCAAGTTCGAGGTCTTTGAAAGAGAACAAATTTTAAAATTTTTTCTATTAACACATGTATTAGACTAATAATTTATGAGTTCTACACCGTTGCTCTGCTTAATTTTATTTAAATATACATACATACATACATATATAAACTATGAATATATATATATATGTATATTTCTTTTATTTATGCTTTCAAAATCTATTATTATTTGTTTTAATATAAACTCTGTCACGAGACAATTGTTTTACCCAACAAAACTAAAAGTACATAAGAGCACGTTATCATGTGTATGTGGCTTTTTGAACCGACAAATGAGAACAACATTTCAAGTAGTATAATTCCCAAAATGATATTTTAATGGCAATTATAACAAAATTTTTAGTTTTATTAAAAGTTAACATCTCTATAACGTTCATTATATGTCATTACAGTCCAGTAATCCATATATGAGTGCTGTATTCTTGCATATGAATCCAAAATATATCACATGGGAAATAATACAATCCTAAGTTTAACAAGAAATAGTGTTATTCCACTTACGTTCGTCATTGCAGGTCACTGCTTCATAGGTATGTACCCGGCTAATAAATTAGGTGCCCCAACAGAAACTTCTGCAAAAATTGTCAGAATTATTATATCACAGGCTGGCGCTTTCAGCACTAAGACTAACTTGTTAGGAAATGACTTCTTTAAGGAGATGGCAGAGCTAAATACGTAACAAATATTTATAGTAAAACTTTTAACATTTATTATTAAAACCAGAAGGTTGATCAAAAATGAATTACAAATTTAGAGACATCGCTCTTAGTACAATAACGGATCCAAAACTAAGTGAGTCTTCCTTATTGGAGATTCGCATTTTGAATAATAATAATACAATATTTATTACCAATAGTTCTCTGATTGCAAATACAAAATTAAACTATATGTATGGATTTATATACATATGAATATGAGAAAATCTATATGAATGTTTAACGCTAAATACTGCAGTTTATTATTAGTATAATTTTTTTTTGAATTATCCTCAATACACATGTATTAATAATAAAAGCTGAGTTCCTAGCTTTCCTTGGATTTTATACATATTATTTATTATTTTTTCATTTTATTACTATACATGTGATTTCTTTCTATTCTTATTTATTTTTGACTGCTGTTACTAATGCACGCAGAACACATCATCAACTATCTACATTACCTACTCGCTTTTAGATTCCAGCATTCACTTGTTCAAACAATCTATTCGCTTACTATCCATTCAAAATATATACTATAATTAACCATTATTTATGCATGGCAATTAAAAGAGCAATATACATAGATAGTATAAAATATAAATATTGCTATCCTTATATTTTACCCACATAGAAATCGCTTGAAATACGTTCACTTTTTGGCACATCTAAAAAATTGAGTTCAGTTGAGATCGAAACTAGGAATTTATGTGTTAGCGCCTAGCATTTAACATTAAGACCTTTTGGCCATTGCCTCAATGTTGTGTTCCAATTTTTATTTTATTTTTATAGCGACTTTATATTTCCGATATTTGTCATTTGAGAACAATAGTTTTTAATCCCACATTTTATTTGTTTTCTCATCAAGTTAGCATCCCGAAGATACTTTTATATTTCATTTTATTGCTAATAATAATAGATGATAATAATTTTCGGTATTTGAATGACAATCATGTTTTCTGAAATCTCTACAAAATAAGCTAATGCTTTCATAGCTAATTTGGTTTTCAAAAATATTGATGAAAATCGAAAAAACTAAGAATTATAAAATTATAGCGTAAAAATGCAATTGCTTGCGTTTACGGCGTTTGCTAAATATAATTTTCCGGTGTGAAAGTTAAATATAGCAAAGTTTTTATATATGAAATTGTCGAAAATGTGTGCCCGTCAATAATGAAATAAGCAACTTTGAATAATAATTAGATGCCAAGTTTCGTTTCAATTTCTTATTAAAATTACAAGTTATCAACAACAAAATGAGATTATTTTTTTACATAATTATTTATAATGAAAAACATGATAAAAAAACAAACAGGATTGTCTCCTAAATCCTTCGTGTTTCTTCAAAATTATAGTAGACGACCAATATAACAAATTTTTAGGTGAATAGCTTGTTCCCTTGTTCCCTTGATCGCCTTGTTTTTAAAGAGATCATATTATTGCACTGCTACCCGACATATAGCATTATATAGCAGTGTAAGGATTTTCTTTTCTTATATAGGAATAGGAATAAATGGGGTACCAGCTCTTAATGGAGCGGAACACTGCGACCATGGTTGATCTTTTGTGCTGCAACAGACCCTATCCAAACAGAAGAAATTTCACCTTCCGAATGAAAGCCAAAATATCGGCCGTTGGAGACCTCCTAATATCAGAAGGGGGAGTAGTTCTCGACCCAGAGACCTCCTCCTGGCCCAGATCAAGGCTGGACAGTCACAGAGAATGTAACTGGAAGTCTCATCTGCTTTCAAGCAGAGTCGACAATCTATCTCTTCGGACAGACCCATTTTCTTAAGGTGATAGCGCACTCCATCAACTCTGTTCTGCTAAAGAAGGATACCTTACTATAGCGATTCATCATATTACATAATACATTAGAAGTTCGCTATATATAGCAGTTCTCTGTAATTATCATCAAATTTTTATTTTCACTATCATAAAATCCTTTAATGAAGTTTCAATAAAATTAAATTTACTTTCATGTCATCACGTTATATATCTTTAAAATAAAAACGTTGCGATTTTGGTAATAATTAATTTGATCTTATTAAGTAAATCCCATAATATTGGATAATACCTATTGGATTCGATATGTTTTAGCAATAAGTTTAAATTTGTATAAATTTTAATGATGCCCACTTTTGTTCCAAAGATAATGGTTGATTATTAAAGAGAATTATCATATATTGAATGAAATGAATCTTTCGACTACCCAAAACTTTTAATATATAAAGTGTTTTGTACGTTAAATTGAGTTAACTAGTTATATAAAACTATCAACTATTCATAAATATTAGTGTTTAATTTTCTCGTAATAACTTCAAAATTTAAAATCATATTGATTGTTTGTCCAAAAATTCAAATTTTAATTATGTTATCTTATTTTATAAATTCTCAGCGATTTGATTTCGTTTGTATATTTTATTTTTTTTTATTTTTAGAAATAAATTTCAAATAAGTGTGCCAAAACAAATATCTAGAAAAAAAAAATCTAGAAAATATTTTATAAAAATTTTTTTCTAATTTTATATCTATAGGTTTATACATATACATATTGAATTTTTTTTTATTTTTACATCAGTTTTGCATATTTTATTTGTTTCTACTCATCGAATATATTTTTTGTTTTTTGAATTATTTCATACTTAAAATTGTTATTAAATTATATATTATTAGTTTTAAGTTTACTTTTAAAATTTTTAAAAATAAAATTTCGCACTTATAAATTTAAATAAAATATTTTTAGATTCAAAATAAGAAAAAAGTTAGACCTATTTTTTATTTTTTTTTATTTTAAATATAAAATATTTTTTATATTTTTTTGCTATAATAAAAATAAAAAACATTTCTTCTTTAAAGCTTGAAGTTTAGTACTTAGTATCTTTAATGCAAGATTTACATAAAATATCACTGGCATTTATTAAACATAAATATTTTTCTTTAAATTTAATAAAAATCTAAGCAATGTAATACTGATATTTCAACATCTAATTTATACCAATTGCATCAATGTATGAATATTGCTTCACTTTTATCCAGCCTTTTTTTATTAGGACCAAACTCATACCCACTCGTTATATCTCAAACATTCTTTATTCTCATCCTAACACATATATTCGTTTATCAGTACATAAATGTTTCTTATTCTACATGTCTCAGATAAAGTAAAGTGATATACTTAACATATATTTGTTTCTTATTCTTCTTTTTATTTAGCACTACAGTCTAGTGTGAACCTGAGCCTCCTTCATAACCTGCCTCTTTTTGCTTCGATCTTGTGCAGTTGTTTTCCAATTCAGAACACTGAGGTTTCTGGCGTTCTCGTACAACTTTTCCTTCCATCTCAGCTTCGGTCTGTGTTTATGCCTTGTTGTTATCGGATTAGCATTAAATATATTGGCCGGATTTCTTTTAGGTCCCATTTTTACAACGTGAGCTGTCCATTGGAGTCTTTTTGCTTTGACAAATCTTACTATATTTTCATTTTTAAGCAAGTTATCAATTTCGTTGCACGAACATATATTTTTTTAACTGATTTAAACTAGAAAGATATATACAAGAAAGATATAAATACAAGAAGTTGAAAAAAATTTTATTCACTTTTTGGAAATATGCCTTTATATTTAGTAATACCTGTAAATATATGATAAAAAATTTTTTAAACTTATGTTCTTGTATATACTGATATCTTATATATCTATGTTATACAATAAAAGTTAATTATAATTAGTTGGCAAGCACATCAGTTGAAAACGGCTGGACCGATATGAGTATTTTTTTAATGTTCTCACAGAGAAAATTGAAAGAAAAATTGAAGAAGTGGAAAATTCTGTCACTTCTAAAAGTACTTTTCTCCTTAAGGTATTTATATTCAATCCAAATTTTCTCCAAAACCGCTAAGTCGCTCTCTTTGGTATTTATGAGACGTTATATCAATATAAATGTACCAAAAATAATACATTCTTATTTCGGAGTCAATATTTGAGGTCTATATATATTTAAGCTTGCAGTGCTGCAACTAATATTCATCTAGTTAATTTCATCTAGCTTATAAAAGGACTATGTATTTCATTACCAAATAGATATGACAATTATGATTTAATTATTATTTAAATATTTTTAAATAAAATTATGGAAACATAAAATTAATATGCACACCTCTGTTTAATTTTCAGGTTCTTACAAAACAATTGAGCGACAAAAGTCCAAAAGAGATAAATTAGCAACAGCTCTGCGTGATAATAAGAAGAGACTTCAACAGGTTGAACAGGAAATAAATTTATTAACAGAGCAAATTAGTCCTGGCCTAACCGAAAGACTGGATAGCGATATACAAAGATTACGTTCTGATTGTCAGGATATGTTAAATGAAATAGAAACAAAACGAGGTAAATAAAATATTTTTTTAACATATAAAAATTAATATTTATTATTTTAATAATCAAACTTTTTTTTGATTTGCCTTTAACACAGGTCCAAGTGTAACGAATAATCCAAATTGTGTAAGTAATTTCGTAAATAATGGATCACAATCACAATTACAATCACAATCACAGCAACAAATTCAACCTCAACCATTCCCACGGCAGCGACCATCGCGACCACCGCCTATAGCAGGCATATTAAATCAACAACAGCATTTGGATTTTGTGCAACATCACAGCAATAGCTCGACACCCACTGGAGTAGCCTATACAAGTCCATTAACAACAACACCAATCATAAATACACCAAACTCACTGCAACAACAACAACAACAAATAGCAACTCCACTTATGTCGCAATCACCACTTACATATGAACAATATTATCAATTGCAACAGCAACAACAACAGCAGGAGCAACTGCAACCGCTACAACAAAATCAACCGCATTACACCGATGATGAAGATTATAGTGATTACAATACCGATGATAATGAGGAAGAGGAACCGCTAGAAATGTGGGCCTGCAATATGTGTACATTCCGTAATCATCCGCAACTGAATATGTGCGAATGTTGTGAAAACGTCAGAATTTTACCGCGTACGTTAAGAATTTCACCAACAACCATTGCAAATACTGATTCTGCACTTAGTGCTGTTAATATGAATGATGCTATTAACAATAACAACACACACAATAGCAGTGGCAATCTAATACGTGGTATTGGTATTATAACACCTACCAATGGCAATGTTACTAATGCCACTGCTAATGTTGCGAATTCTAATACTAGCTTAGAGAATGATGCTAATCTAACTCAGCAACAATTACAACAATTTGCTCTGCATACGTGATGTAATATTTATGTTTTTATGTTGTTATTGCTTTATTACTCTAATGTTCATTTGCAAGTACGAGTATATTTATAATTTACTTATATTATTTCTTATGTATCTTTAGTAAGTTTTTATAGTTTTGTATATTGTTGTTTTTAATAAGAAGATGTTTAATATTTGCATGTGTAAGTTAAGTTTTTATTTTTTTAAAACTAATATCACTTATTAAAATGTAAGAGATATGTTAGATAATTTTTTTTTACGCGTCAAAAATGTCAATGCTCCAATATTGAAGATTATATATTAGTTATATTGAATCTTTCAATATGGCTACATCTTGCATAATGTTAAATTTAGGACAGACTTGTCTCGATTTGTGACTCCAGTTATTTTCTTTGGTGCCACTTGTTAATTTTAAACATTATTTTTGGATTTCATTCTAAGTTAGTAAAGTAACTTATCTAACATTACAATATTATGATAAGAAAATATATAAAAAGATGCGATTTCCTTTAATATCTGATAAATATAATACGATAAAAAGAAACGATATCTTCTTAAAAAGTTGCGTTTTATTTGAGAATGCTTGTTCGAACTCAAGTAAACTGTAGTATATTTTGTTAGTAAGTAAACAGTCCAACTATAAGTAACAACTAAACAGTCTGGAGTATACTAGGTAGCAATTTAATAATAATTAGAAATTCACTCAAATGTTTCGCTAAATTTTCGATCATTTTTAATTGGAGCCTTTTTTACATATTTCTTTGTTTTATTAATTAAACATTTTAAAACAATTTTTATGTAAACCTTAAATACTGTTTTGAATTTGTTTATAATTTGTATTAAAAATAAAAATTTGACTTGCAGTATCAATGACTTTAATATATTATTTCATTGGAGACTTTTAACTGTGATAAAAATGAAATATAAAACAACAATTCAAATTAATATAACGATATATCATAAAAAGATTTTATGAATTATAAATAATAAATATATATATAGATATATATACCAGCTTGTAGATATGTAAATAAGCATATGTACTAAATAACGATGTATTTTTAAGTTGTTAAAATATATACTTTAAGTTACTACATAAATCTATTAAAAGATGAATCCATTGTTAGAAAAATATTTAAACAGTAAAAGTCTAATTTCCTACAGATTATATAAAGTTGAAAAAAAATCTAAAAACTGTTAAAAAAATCAAACTTCCTACCTAAATGAAAATATTATGTTATTTTAAGTTTACAAATTCTTTTATATATTTTTGTATGTTAGAATTTTTGTGTGCGTATAGGGTACGCTTGTTATTCGTGAAATCTTAAATTAAAAAGGAAGCTCCAAACAATATGATTTTTCAATATATTCAGGTATTCTTTATGTATAAAATTATACAAAGTGTAATAATTTAATAGTCATAAATATAATAAATTAAATAAAATTGTTTTAATTAAATAAATAAATGTTATTTGTTTATTTGAATTTATGCATGATTTTGCCTGTTTCTGCAATTTTCAATATTAATAACTAACTTTTTTGCGAACATTTAATTATATATTTTATAATAATAATTTAATTTTTTTTCAATAGAACCTTTACTCAGTAGAGAAGATATTCATATAACCTTAGCACCCGGAGAAAACAGTAAGTATTTTATTAATAATAATAATAATAATAATAGAATTCAATAAACATGTAAAGATTTCGAGTTATTTACGGGTAACTTATTTACTGATAAGTTTCTGTTAGGAAGAAATTTTAGATTTCCATATACGACCTGGCTTTAGCTTTAAAGTGGAAACTTTGTAAATTATGATAAGTAAGGTTAGGAAAAGTTGCTGCCGGAATATCACTGCAATATACTTGCAGCTATTGGCCCATTGTAACATCAATGGTACAGTGTTTTCTTAGTTATGATCATGTGTCAAATTTGACGCGTTTTTCACTATTTTCGTTAAGGATAACTTTAATTTCAGTTAGAAGTTAATATAATCTATTTTCCAAGAAACTCCATTCCTAAAAACAATGTGCATTACAAAAAGAATAGAGCTTGATGTTAAGGTCGGAAAAACAATGCGTGTCGGATGCTAACCCCTTGCACCGAATATAACATATAAAATATAATAAACAACTTTTTAAAATGAGTACAGATATTTTCGTCAATTACATTTGTAGTGATAAAAAAGTTATAGAAACTTCTAATGTTTGCAGTTACTTAATTATAATCATAATTTATATACCATATATGTTAATAATACTCTTATTAATATTTAATTAATTTTTCTTTCATTTAATTTATATATATAAATATTAAAAATCCACATCTATGAAACAGATTAAATTAATTATTTATATTAATACTTTGTGTTTTGCAGGAATTATTCACTCATGGGTCGTTTCATGACAATCAACAGATAACTAATATCAACCTGGATATTTGTTAGTAATAAAACATTAATTAAAATAATAGTTGAACAATAAAATTAATTAGCTTATAATTAAATCAAATTTCTATTTAACATTTATATTCTAATACTTAAGAAATAATTTTGTTTAGATTATTGTATGTTAGTATGTTAGTATGAATGAATTAAAATTTACAAATTTAATTAAAAATAAATTAAGTTTTACATATATATATATATATATAAATGTCTATATATATATCGTATATAATAGAACAAAGTTATGTAATTAATTTTTTAAGCTGCTGGCAGCTCATAATTAAAATCGTATTTAGCGAAAATATTTTATTATAAATTTTTTACTCTTTAAAATATAAATTCAATTGTATATAACTTTAAGAAAAGACTTAAGAGAGCATGTGAATATAACATATAATAAATGGAAAATATACATATATTTTATAAATCCGCTAACATTTTATTTTACGAGGGAAAGATTTTTAAATATCAATTAAACACAGTATCCACTTTTAAATTTTAATAAAAAGGCATATTAGTACAGTATCTACTGTAGTAATTTTTTAATATATATAATGAGTGTAGTAAAAATTCATTATTATTGCATGAAATTGAAGGCATATTTACCATAGAATGATCCGATTTAAGTCATATTGTTAGATGCGCCATTTTGTTTGATGATTTGTTGCTATTTTGAAGGTAATTTCATTAGCTACTCTAATAGAAGTTCTCGTCCCTATGCGCAAAAAATTGAGGCAGTCGATTTTCACAAGCCTCCCTTTGAAACGGGTTTTTACGCAATTCTTAGCTTTTGTGCAATCAAAACAGTGCTTACATGAGTTATACGGTCAAACTAAACAATTTCCATTATTTTATCAACATTTTCAACAATTGGTCTTCCAGTGCGTGGTGCAACTTTGCGGGATACAACACGAGATACATAGGTATAGATAGATAGATAGACATAGATAGATAGATAGATATAGATAGATAGATGTAGATGGATAGATATAGATAGATAGTTATAGGTAGATAGATATATATAGATAGATACAGTGAACACTGAATTTTGAATTTTTAAAAACCCCAACCAGGTGGTATGTCAAAAGTTGGCAAACCAGAAACAGAGTTCTGGAAATCACTCAATGTACAGCAAAAAGTGTATCCACGTGTGATATCTGTGTAAAACGATGAATTAATGCCATACAAATCACACACATTCGTACAGAATTCGACAACATCTGTGACAGCAGCAAATGGATTATTTAAGGTAATCATTACAAGGCTTGTATCCAAGTCCGGATGCATTAGTATTTTATAGTACCACTTTGGTGCTTCAATGTAACTGCCATCATCCAAATATATCGAAGTTAACACATTTGCAGTTGTGGGTAGTTGTAGTATACCCAAAGTACTTGTAAATGTCAATAGATCAGACCCAAATTGTGTAGCAAGACTTCTAGCTTGATTCTCAACACGTATCCAATTACCAGCGTTTATAACCTGAAATTCTGGTGCGCAATTTGTATAGAAATAGGTTGCCAATTGTTCATAACCAAAAACGAAATCTGCATCAGGGGCTAAATGACCACGAGCCAGAAAACTTGAGGATGTTATATAAGCTTGCTTCACACCAAAATAGTTTTTGAACCGCGATATTTGATTATTGTTTGTGTAAAACTTGTTAGTGGCTGTGGTAGTAAAACGCATACCATTAGCGCGGAAGGCCCGACGGATGTTCTTGTTTATTTTATCTGTATAAAAAAAAAACACTGTTTAGACTGAATATTCCAAGATAACATTTAAGTATGGATGAAATAAGATAAAATAGTGGAGGTGCGAGTTTTTATTGAGTCAGATGAAAAATATTGGTGCCTTTTTTATATTTTTAATGCATTAGTATCTGGATTAACACCTGACTTCATCGCAACACCACTGAAATGTGTTAATAGATGAAATACTATTAAATTATAATGATGATTTGTGCAGGAGGATGCAGGAGGATACACTACAGTCTTGCAACGACTATAAAACTATTAACTCTACAGTATGAAGTATGGAGGATGCAGAAACTATTTAATTAAAAATGAAAATGATAATAATGAACGTTAAATATATGTATGTTAATAGTTATATATTTATCATAACTACTCACAATTTTGTGTAGCGCCATTGATAATACTACGTGAGTACAGTGTTTGCTCCGTATTGCTGTCATAGCATATGGTAAACAAGTGTAAGAAATTTTTGGAATCTAATGTGAAGCCTGCTTTATACACTACACCTTGATTATTTGAACATGGTGTTGTTGTAAGTAGTAGATCAGATGTGGGTATACTAGTACAGCGCAATTGCGATAGTGTATAACTTTGTGATTTTTCAGTACTATAAAAGACATTGCCACTCTGACATGTTAGCGTTAATTTTTGTTGTGCCAAATCAACCAATTGATTGCCACTTCCAGCACAGAACACCGTTAAGTTACTGCCAATTGATAAAGTAGTCACTTGTCCTGTGGGCCATAGAAGTTCTGGTGTCGGTTTTGCGATAGTACTTATAACATAAACTGGTTCCGGATTCGGTATATCTGTAGGTATTGTTATAGTGCAGCCTGTAGGTGCAGCAGTAGTAGTAGGAGTTGCATTACATAGTAAATTTATAGTAAAATTAGGATAAGTTAAATAATAATACATAGTGTACATAATTATTTAAAAAAATGGTACTTTCTGTCTATACTTTTTATAACAATCAACTAAATTTTTCACGGCACCTCACAATCATTTACAATAACACGCAGGTATATACATTTTATATGGAATATCTTCTAATAGAATTCTACTTTTAAAATTTCATTCGTTACTTTAATAATCTATATATCATTCCATTTAAATAGTTTAATCTTTAATTTGATTTAATTTTAACTATTTCAGTATATATACTGAATATTTTGTAATAGCAACGTGTTTAAAATACTAAGAATTTATAAATATTTATATACTAGATGATGGTAAAAAGTTTTAGATCCTATAAAGATTTAAGTTTATATACACAGAATAAAATTTTATACATTTTATAAAGTTAGAAATGGACTTAGTAAATACATTCATAATAGTTACGTACCAAAACTTAACAATTTTTAAAATATGAAGTACTGTGATATGCATAAGAGCAACATATACTTACTACTTATAACTTCATTCAATAAGTTTATGGCAGTTAGTGTAGAAGGAAGGTCAGCATAGTGAGTTTTGAAGTCTTCCAATTCACAACAGAACGTATAACCACGTGTCAAATCTGTAAACTCTGCAACGTTGGTACCAGCTCTTTGACAGACATTAGTACAAAATTCATCAATATCTCCAGTAGTAGCAAATGGGTTATTCAGCGTAATAAATACGATAGCTGAGTTAGTTGCTTCACGCTTCACAACCTTAAAATAATATTTGGGAGCTTCAATTTTATTTGTTGCATCCAAATAAATTGATACCAACGTATTACTTGTTGTTGGTAATTGGAGAATACCCATATAACCGTTGTAGATCTGCAGATCATCATTGTAAGTGACTGCCAGACTACGTACTAAATTTTCAACTCGTATCCAATTACCGGCATTTACAATTTGAAATTCTGGCGCTGCATTGGTGTAGAAATACGTCGCCAACTGCTCATAACCAAAAATGAAATCTGTATCTGGTGTTAGATGACCACGTGCCAAATAGCTTGTAGTCGTTATATATGGTTGACTTGAACCGAAATAGGATTTGAAACGTGAGATTTGGTTGTTGATTGTATAGAAATTGTTCGTTGCTGTAGTTGTGAACTGCATTCCTTCCGCTCGAAATGCACGTCTTGTGCTCTCTTGTATGTTAACTATATAAATGACATGATTTCCATATGACATAGGTTTAACAGTAGTCGTACTACTACTACTTACAATTTATTGCTGCACCATTTACTGTATTATGAGTGTAAAATGTGTTTTCAGTTACATTATTATAACAAATGCTGAAAACACTTGCAAATTGATTTGTGTTATATTCAAATCCAGCTTTAAATATATAACCTTGACCATTTGAACAGGTTTCTGATGTTAAACGTAGCACTGAAGTCGGTATAGACTTGCAGCCTAATTGATTAAGAGTATATGCCACGTTACCTACAACACTTTTGAATGTATCATCTGTATGACAGTAGAGTTCCAGCGATTGTTGTTTGAGCAAATTTATCGCATTTCCTGAACCTGGGCATACTAGCAGTAATTTTCCACCATTAGGAATTGTAGTTACCTGACCAGTTGGTTTAAAGAGCACATAAGGACTCAAACCATCCAGTGAGCTAAGCAACACAGGCTCGGATGTGGGCATATCAGTTGGTAAAGTAATTCCGCAACCACTTCCATTAGCACTACAAACTGTAATTTAGAGATATTTTATTAAAAATAATTAACTTCCATATTTCCACTCTTTGTTCATACTTGATAAACTTAAACACAGAACAAGAATAGCCAACTTTATTTGACCATAAGCGTCAAGCACATTTGGTTTGTAGGAATACATTTTTGAATTTAACTTATTGCAATAGTTTTGGCGATATTTATAGAAGATATCTGCCATGGAATACTAATAAAACCCATTATCGTATGCATATACCTAACTATATAAAAAACTTCCACATATCAGTAAAAGCATATGTACTTGCAGACTTCTGGAACGCTAAGTAGTGTACGGGGAACCGAAATAGTAAATTCGAAAACATTTGTGTTTTTAATGCTTGCTTCTTCAGTTTATTTGCTATTTTTATTTAAATAAAAAAATTGTTGCTATATAAATAAACTTAATTAAAAGCGGATAAGAGCAAATCAGACAATATTAGGGTTCCTTCACTATCTGCTGTAAGTTCAAAGGTTATTATTACACGCAATGAATATCTTTGTTCTTCGAAAAACATAATATTGGTAAGGATGAATATTTACAACAACGTATGCAACTGCTAAGCTACTATACAAATAACTTCAACCACTAGATTATTATTCGGAATAATGATTGAATATCACTACCATCATATTTCCACTAATCACTGTGAAATAGCATTAATAATAAGTAATCTCAATAAACGATCTGCCCCGGGCTATGATGGTATCGGCAACATCTGTCTTCAAAACCTTCCAGAAAACGTCCTCACCAAAGTAGCGGAAATAACCAATGCAATTCTTAAATTTGGGTACTTCCTATTTGTTGGAAAAATGCGAAGGTCATTATGCTTCCTAAACCAAACAAGGACCTGAAGTTCCCACAGAATTGGCGTCCCATCAGCTTGCTTCCTACTCTGGAGAAAGTAGCAGAAAGAGTCATTCTGGCTAAATTGAAAGACCACCTAAGCTCGAATAATATCATCCCTGATGAGCAATTCGGAGACAACCACTCAACGGAATTACAATTGACCAAAATAGCACAACATTTACAATCTGCACTTAGAAGTAGGATGTCGACTGGTCTTATCTCTTTTGATGTCGCTAAAGCCTTTGACAAAGTCTGGCACTCGGGCCTAATTGTGAAAATGGCTGCTCAGAACTTTCCACCATCATCAAGCTCATAGGCAGTTTCTTAAATGAAAGGTCGTTCCAAGTCAAAGTGAACAATTCAACCTCTTCAGTAAAATCGATACAGGCTGGAGTACCACAGGGGTCGCCGTTATCTCCACTGCTCTATAGCCTGTTCACTGCAGACATACCGAAACTCGAGCCTTCTATGCTATCGCTTTATGCTGACGACACTTGTATTGTGTACTCAGACAAAATAGCCTACAATCTCTCCAACACCATACAGGGTCACATTGACGTGCTTGTTCAGTATTTTAAAAAGTGGAAAATAAAATTGAACGTAGAAAAGACTCGGGCAATTTTCATTACCAGGAAGCGCCGCCAAGCACCCAGAAAATTAAAAGTAGAAGAACAAGAAATAGAATGGGCCGATACTCTCAAATACCTAGGCATAACCTTTGATAACAATCACTCCTGGAAAGCACATTTCAAGTCCAAACGAGCTCAAGTTGCCCGAATATTACACTCCCTTCACCCGCTCATCAGCAGCAAAAAGCTCAACATAAAGAATAGAGTTAGCATATTTAAGCAGATTATTAAACCAGGACTACTCTATGGCAGTATTGCGTTTTGCCAAGCGCTAAACTCAACTTTAAAAATTCTTCAAAGAGGGCAAAATATTGCCTTAAGAACACTGGTTAACGCCCCATGGTACGTAAGAGGAGCGGATATCCACAGAGATCTGAGAGTCGATTCAGTCGAAAAATACATTAAAGATCGTACTCTGAAACTGTTCAATATAATTGACAGTCACAATAATCCAATACTCAGCATCATAAAAATACAGCGAAATTTGATAAACTCAGCCAGATACAAAGACATCAGATCCATCATATTATAAAGCCCCGTATTCAGTTATTCTTAGTGTGACTTAAAACTGTCCACAGATAAAATAGAGTAAAGGTGCTGATTTACCAACTCAATCATCTGAATATCAATAATATCATAACTTTCAAGTACAGGAAACTTGAATGAAGAAGAAAAAAATAACTTAAATATTATTTAAATTAAATTTCTTGTGTTAAAAATGAATTCTATTATATAAATTGTCGAAATCATCCAATAAGTCATGAATCATTCATTCAATTAATGAAATTTTTTTTGGAATTGTGGTGTCATCATCCCTTACAAAGACAAAGAAATAGAGATAATATGTAATTAATACTACAAATTTAAATTTAATTGAAGTTGATGATAAAAATTCAGTTCCTTTGTGAAGTTCGTTCAAATGTGCATTGTTTGAAATACCGCCCAATTTTCATCCCCTTCATATTGGTTCTATGAACATGATATGTAGGCATTGTTTAGCTAAGCATTTTGCTTCAGAGTCTACAATGCGTGAAAGAAATTTCTTCACTATGTATTGTCGTAAAGGTAAAGTACATCTTCCACTATTAATACAAAATGAGTTTTTTAATTCATTGTATGACGGTCTTACATCAAATTATAAAAATATAAGGAAAAAGTCCGAAAGTTATTTTGACAATATTCGAAGCTACAATTCGGCTTATGCTTTGGTCAGTTCGGAAACTAATATTTCTGACACAGTTTTAAGAGGAATTTATCATTTCAAAATTCACGACATATTTTATCACAGAGCATATGGTCACAGCATATGGTCGTACGCCAAATTATGCCCAGTTGTTCAATATAGAATGCGAAAGCAATCAAATAAAACTTGCGATGCTGTTTTGATGAGACAAATTTCTGTTGAATTGGATAGAATAAATCCATTTATTCGTTCATTTCGTACAATGAAGGAACATTGTGATAGAGTATGCAATGTACAGAAAGAGATTTGTATGGCAATTACCGTGAATCGTGATACAGATATACGAAGATATAATGATACAACTCGAACTGATGTTGCGGTTATACTTACGACTGTAGATGGTGAACCACCATTTGAGAGAAATATGATATCTTTTTCAAAAACAAATGGTGTGGTTAAGAATGTATCAGTATTAGATTCCATTGGCATAGTATTGGATCCATTGGCATATCCTTTACTATTCCCAAATGGAAACTTTGGTTGGTGAATGGGAATGGGACGAGAGTGCGAGTCAAAGCAATGCATAATAACACAATAGATTGTGAAGTGCTCATTGGAGTTGCTCACGGAAAACGTATTTTGATTCCACGCATACACTTGACGTGTTCAGGGTAGTGGTGCCAAACTTTGTTACTTTGGCGTATTTGTAACTACCTCTTACTTTTCGAGTATGTATTCGTTACTCAGTATTCATTACTGAGTTTAAAACCAAGGTTGCATCCTCAATATGATATTTACATCTTACTTTGTAATTTCTGTGTATGTGTGAACTAATGTACTTTTTATATTTGAGCTAGTTTTTTCTAGGACTTGTAAGGCTATAGAAACAGTCTCGTAACTGAGGAGCATCAAGTAAACAAAATGTAACTGGAGAATGGTCAGAAGACAGATCGCAGCTAGTGTATGTTGAGATAAAATTTCTGTACATGCCTTTGGTTACCGCAAAGTCTATTAGGTCTGGTATTTTATTATTATCACGTCTAGTGCATTTTTCCTATGTAAAATGGAATTGTAAAGCTGTTTACCTTTTTGAGGCGTGAATCCAATATGCGTGCTTGGCGTTGCAGTCTCCTGCTGCAACAAATCTGTACCTAGAGTTAAGAAGTAATCCATAAATTGGGCCTCCCTCGCTTTTAATGTTGAAGCGAGGGAGGCAGTAAACTGCCGACAAAATTAAGATTTTTTCTTTATGTTTAAGGCGTATTGATATGGCGTCTAAATTGCGTTTTAGACTCCTACGTACCAAGATACCAGTACCACCGTGTGCTTTCCCATCAGTGTGATTGGTTTTATAGAATAAATAACCAGGAATATACCATATAAGAAATTTTTGTTCGTTAGATGTGTTTCTGAGCAAAGCATTCCATCAACACTTTCACGGGACATGAAGTTTGTGAGTTCTAGTTTGTGTTGGCTTAAGCCGTTTGCATTACATGTACAAATTTTTAACGAACTCATTTATTAGACAAAAACATTTGCATTAATTGGCTTTGCATTTTAACTATCTCGTTAAGAGTAGTTTGCATGATTGACATAAACTGAGTTAAGGTCTGGGTGAGAGTGGAGATCATCATTTCCAAACTATTATTTTGAACTGGAGGGGCTTGTTGCTTGTCAGATTTAACGACATTAGCATATGAGACACCTGGTTACTGAAGTTTAAATGCCTTTTTTCGACAATAAAAGGTGTTTTTAAAATCATACTATATATTAATTATGATAAATTATAGATTGAATAAATTAACAATTATTTTATTGAATTGTTTGATCCGCATATTTTGCATTTAGCTTTATACCTCCTACTAGTTTCAAATGAATCCAAATTTCACTTTTTTTATATTAATGTTTTTAAACATTTATAATGAATTTATTATTATACCGCGAAAACAACTGCTTAAAAGTAATCGTTACCAAGTACTCGAAAGAGTAGTTATAACAAATACTACTCATTGGTAAAATGAGTAAAATTTACGAGTACAATAAAAAGTCTGTATTTGTTACTCCAGTATTTCTTGAGTAACGAATACAAAGTAACGGATAATTACATTTTTGGCACAACTAGTTCAGGAACTGCATTTGCTATGACAATTAACAAATCCCAAGGACGGACATTTGATAGAGTTAGAATATTGTTGAGAAGACTTGTTTAAACGCATGGTCAACTTTACGTTGCAACCAGGAGAGTTAGATCATTTGATGTTTTACAATTTTATGTCAGTAACGAAGGTGGACAAGGTCATTTGGCTAATGATGAAAGGGTGTTTACAAAAAATATTGTTTACACTGAACTTTTGAGAACTTTGTAATATTAACATTGTTAATAAATTATATGTTCTATTGGTCGATTTTCGACCACTGGTGACCCTAATATATATAATAAGTGTAATAAAAATTCATTATCATTGCATGAAAATTGAAGGCATATTTACCATAGAATGATCCGATTTAAGTCATATTGTTAGATGCGCCATTTTGTTTGATGATTTGTTGCTATTTTGAAGGTAATTTCATTATGCCACTCTAATAGAAGTCCTCGTCCCTATGCGCAAAAAATTGAGAAGTCGATTTTTAAAAGTCTCCCTTCGAAACGGATTTTTACGCAATTCTTAGCTTTTGTGCAATCAAAACAATGTTTACATGAGTTATACGGTCAGACTAAACAATTTCCATTATTTTATCAACATTTTCAACAATTGGTCTTCCAGTGCGTGGTGCAACTTTGCGGGATACAACACGAGATACATATAGATATAGATATAGATATAGATATAGATATAGATATAGATATAGATATAGATATAGATAGATACACTGAACACAAAAAAAACGTCTTAAAAAAGCGTTTTGTATAAATCAATATCTACAATAAAAATCAATGTGTATTTCACTAAATGCAAACGATTTATTTCAAATTATATTTTTAAACCTTGTGGCCTGACCTGAATTTTGAATTTTTAAAGACTCCAACCCAATGGTATGTCAAAAGTTGGCAAACCAGAAACAGAGTTCTGGAAATCACTCAATGTACAGCAAAAAGTGTATCCACGTGTGATATCTGTGTAAAACGATGAATTAATGCCATACAAATCACACACATTCGTACAGAATTCGACAACATCTGTGACAGCAGCAAATGGATTATTTAAGGTAATCATTACAAGGCTTGTATCCAAGTCCGGATGCATTAGTATTTTATAGTACCACTTTGGTGCTTCAATGTAACTGCCATCATCCAAATATATCGAAGTTAACACATTTGCAGTTGTGGGTAGTTGTAGTATACCCAAAGTACTTGTAAATGTCAATAGATCAGACCCAAATTGTGTAGCAAGACTTCTAGCTTGATTCTCAACACGTATCCAATTACCAGCATTTATAACCTGAAATTCTGGTGCGCAATTTGTATAGAAATAGGTTGCCAATTGTTCATAACCAAAAACGAAATCTGCATCAGGGGCTAAATGACCACGAGCCAGAAAACTTGAGGATGTTATATAAGCTTGGTTCACACCAAAATAGTTTTCGAACCGCGATATTTGATTATTGGTTGTGTAAAAGTTGTTAGTGGCTGTGGTAGTAAAACGCATACCATTAGCGCGGAAGGCCCGACGGGTGCTCTCGTTTATTTTATCTGTATAAAAAAAAAACACTGTTTAGACTGAATATTCCAAGATAACATTTAAGTATGGATGAAATAAGATAAGATAGTGGAGGTGCGAGTTTTTAGGAGGTTGGAGGTTGTATATGGTTTAAATATTTAAAATTATGTACCAAAGAATACACTACAGTCTTGCAACGACTATAAAACTATTAACTATACAGTATGAAGTGTGGAGGGTGCAGAAACTATTTAATTAAAAATGAAAATGATAATAATGAACGTTAAATATATGTATGTTAATAGTTATATATTTATCATAACTACTCACAATTTTGTGTAGCGCCATTGATAATACTACGTGAGTACAGTGTTTGCTCCGTATTGCTGTCATAGCATATGGTAAACAAGTGTAAGAAATTGTTGGAATCTAATGTGAAGCCTGCTTTATACACTACACCTTGATTATTTGAACATGGTGTTGTTGTAAGTAGTAGATCAGATGTGGGTATACTAGTACAGCGCAATTGCGATAGTGTATAACTTTGTGATTTTTCAGTACTATAAAAGACATTGCCACTCTGACATGTTAGCGTTAATTTTTGTTGTGCCAAATCAACCAATTGATTGCCACTTCCAGCACAGAACACCGTTAAGCTACTGCCAATTGGTAAAGTAGTCACTTGTCCTGTGGGCCATAGAAGTTCTGGTGTCGGTTTTGCGATAGTACTTATAACATAAACTGGTTCCGGATTCGGTATATCCGTAGGCATTGTTATAGTGCAGCCTGTAGGTGCAGCAGTAGTAGTAGTAGTAGTAGTAGGAGTTGTTGGTTGTTCTGTAGTTGTGGCTATGAAAAGCATTACATAGTAAATTTATAGTAAAATTAGGATAAGTTAAATAATAATATATAGTGTATATAATTATTAAAAAAAATGGTACTTTCTGTCTATACTTTTTATAACAATCAACTGCCAATTTTCACGGCATCTCACAATCATTTACAATAACACGCAGGTATATACCATTTATATGGAATACCTTCTAATAGCATTCTACTTTTAAAATTTCATTCGTTACTTTAATAATCTATATATCATTCCATTTAAATAGTTTAATCTTTAATTTGATTTAATTTTAACTATTTCAGTATATATACTGAATATTTTGTAATGCAACTGTTTCAGTATATAAATAAATATTTATATACTAGATGATGGTAAAAAGTTTTAGATCCTATAAAGATTTAAGTTTATATACACAGAATAAATTTTATACGCAGAAAAGTTAGAAATGGACTTTAGTAAATACATTCATAATAGTTATGTATCAAAACTTAAGAATTTTTGAAATGTGAAGTACTGTGATATGCATAAGAGCAACATATACTTACTACTTATAACTTCATTCAATAAGTTTATGGCAGTTAGTGTAGAAGGAAGGTCAGCATAGTGAGTTTTGAAGTCTTCCAATTCACAACAGAACGTATAACCACGTGTCAAATCTGTAAACTCTGCAACGTTGGTACCAGCTCTTTGACAGACATTAGTACAAAATTCATCAATATCTCCAGTAGTAGCAAATGGGTTATTCAGCGTAATAAATACGATAGCTGAGTTAGTTGCTTCACGCTTCACAACCTTAAAATAATATTTGGGAGCTTCAATTTTATTTGTTGCATCCAAATAAATTGATACCAACGTATTACTTGTTGTTGGTAATTGCAGAATACCCATATAACCGTTGTAGATCTGCAGATCATCATTGTAAGTGACTGCCAGACTACGTACTAAATTTTCAACTCGTATCCAATTACCGGCATTTACAATTTGAAATTCTGGCGCTGCATTGGTGTAGAAATACGTCGCCAACTGCTCATAACCAAAAATGAAATCTGCATCTGGTGTTAGATGACCACGTGCCAAATAGCTTGTAGTCGTTATATATGGTTGACTTGAACCGAAATAGGATTCGAAACGTGAGATTTGGTTGTTGATTGTATAGAAATTGTTCGTTGCTGTAGTTGTGAACTGCATTCCTTCCGCTCGAAATGCACGTCTTGTGCTCTCTTGTATGTTAACTACATAAATGACATGATTTCCATATGACATATGTTTAACAGTAGTCGTACTACTACTACTTACAATTTATTGCTGCACCATTTACTGTATTATGAGTGTAAAATGTGTTTTCAGTTACATTACTATAACAAATGCTGAAAACACTTGCAAATTGATTTGTGTTATATTCAAATCCAGCTTTAAATATGTAACCTTGACCATTTGAACAGGTTTCTGATGTTAAACGTAGCACTGAAGTCGGTATAGACTTGCAGCCTAATTGATTAAGAGTATATGCCACGTTACCTACAACACTTTTGAATGTGTCATCTGTATGACAGTAAAGTTCCAGCGATTGTTGGTTGAGCAAATTTATCGCATTTCCTGAACCTGGGCATACTAGCAGTAATTTTCCACCATTAGGAATTGTAGTTACCTGACCAGTTGGTTTAAAGAGCACATAAGGACTCAAACCATCCAGTGAGCTAAGCCACACAGGCTCGGATGTGGGCATATCAGTTGGTAAAGTAATTCCGCAACCACTTCCATTAACACTACAGGCTGTAATTTAGAGATATTTTTTAAAAATAATTAACTTCCATAATTCCACTCTTTGTTCATACTTGATAAACTTAAACACAGAACAAGAATAGCCAACTTTATTTGACCATAAGCGTCAAGCACATTTGGTTTGTAGGAATACATTTTTGAATTTAACTTATTGCAATAGTTTTGGCGATATTTATAGAAGATATCTGCCATGGAATACTAATAAAACCATTATCGTATGCATATACCTAACTATATAAAAAACTTCCACATATCAGTTAAAGCATATGTACATGCCGACTTCTGGATCGCTAAGTAGTGTACGGGGAACCGAAGTAGTAAATTCGAAAACATTTGTGCTTTCAATGTTTGCTTCTTCAGTTTATTTGCTATTTTTATTTAAATAAAAAAATTGTTGCTATATAAATAAACTTAATTAAAAGCGGATAAGAGCAAATCAGCCAATATTAGGGTTTCTTCACTATCTGCTGTAAGTTCAAAGGTTATTATTTCATGCAATGAATATCTATGTCCTCCAAAAAGCATAATATTAGTGAGGATGGATATTTACAACAACGTATGTAAGGGACGCACAAGTATCCAGCAGACTTTTTAAATATGAGTAATTCCTCACTGTGCTTAGAAGACACGGTAATTAACAGTTATAATTAGATTTTTACAAGTATTCGAATTGAAAATGGTATTCGTATTGGTATTGTTCAAATCAATTGAAAGAGAAAGTTCTCCCAAGTCTAATGATAGCGGTAGTCGATACATTTAATTTAAAGAAAAAAAGCTATACCAACTCCATACAGAGTTGAGACAGTTGGTAAACATAATGGTATGGTATGATCGATTGACGTTATTCTACCTTTCTGAATACCTAGAGTAGTTTTTTGAGAGAAATTTATTATTCTATAAGCACTTCAAAACACGAATTTCATTGAAAAGCGAGTGGAAACAACTCCTGCCATTAGATTAACTAAACTGCTATACAAATAACTTCAAGCATTAGTTTATTATTCGGAATAAAGATTGAATATCACTAGCATCATATTTTTCAAGTACAGGAAACTTGAATGAAGAAGCGGGTCTCCTATGTATACAATGAAACTATAAATATACCCCAGGAGCGGCATGAATAACGTCCCTGAGCTGTTCTTGCAAGTGGCGCTAAGCATTCCCAACAGGGATTATAGCAGCAGGTTTCTATAAACTAAAATAAGAACTAAATAATTCATTTTGCATTTTTGCTTTATTTACTTTAATAAATTAATTTCAATTATAACAAAATATTTTTAACTGTTAACAAAGTTTATAGGAACTTAAATTCAAGTTTTATATACATTATAGATTGTTCTTTAAATTTTGTGTTTTGTAAAAAAAAGTAACTGAACAAATAATATTTAAATTAAATTTCTTGAGTTAAAAATGAATTATATTATATAAGTTGTCGAAATCATCCAATAAGTCATGATCATAAAAAAGGTAGTCATCGTCATCATCATCAGAGTACTCGATATCAAAATTATTAATGATGGCATGCCATACATCAAAACCGTCCTCTTCGTCCGAATTCAGATCGAAGTCACTATCGGAGTAGTCGGATTCTAATTCATCACAGAAATCATTATATGTATTATCAATTTTTACATTCACCAATGATTTGGAGTTTATATATACATCATTCTACAATTAAAATAATTATTTATTTAATAAATATTAATATATATATTTATTAATATAAATTTATTGAGAAAAATTTATATGCTAAAAATAAAATCGCTTCGATAATGCTTAATATACATCAGAAATTATCTTCAAGACATATTTTTGGTTTTGTCCATATATACTATACTATTTGCTTTGAATTCGTTAGAACTCTAAAGTATTTCATACTAAATTATTAAAAGATTCAAACTTTTTATATTTACATTTGCAAAGATCTATATAGCAATCAAAAATATCGCTTTTACAGGAGTGTAGAAGTGTAGATTTTAGAGAAATGTACTAGTCATTTGGACCGACAATGACTCTTTGTGGTGCCCTAAAGTGGTTTGGGCTTTTACTGCTATTAAAACCTTTTTCGCACAAGTTCCAGTTCATTGCGATTATTTATTAGAAGTAAGTTCTCAGTCCCTCCTTTTAACAACTCAGTGCAGAAATAATATAGTATTTAAAAGAAAATATATTTCAAATATATATGCAAAAGTTTATTGAACTTGATAAATGTTTATTTAAAAATTTGACTAATGAAAGAGAATGGTGTTTGGGTAAGTCAAAAGATAATTTAATCTACTTTTAAAATTTGGTAGGAGTTTTTTTAAATAAATGCTATTTGCGAAAATCAACAAATGCTTAGAGAGGATATTGAAATGATTTCATAATTAACAATCTGTTAAAGTCCTGCGTTTAGTAGTAATAAACAATGACCCTTTAGAGTACAAATGTTTGTAATTGAATTTATTAATTTTTTTTTTTAAATTATCTTTTGTAAACTTATACATACCTGTAGTATGGTGTAAGCAGTTGATGTGCCTGATAATAGAATCTCGAAAGGTGCTGATATATCAGTAACTTTTGACTTAAGTTCTTTAATGACATTTAAAATAAATGTTTCTGTGATATTTTTGACGCCTTTAAGACAAAGCTTTTTTAAGTTCTTACAATCCTTAACAAGTGTAATCAAACCAGACTCAGTAATTGATTTACACTTCTCCAAATCAATTACTTCCAATTGCTTAAGGTTTTCGGCGAGCAGGCGTAAACATTCATCATTTAGTTGTGAACTGGAATAAATTTTAAGATACTTTAAATTTTTCAAATTCGTAATTGCTTTAGTCCGTTCCAAGCTAACCGCATCCATCACATCTAGTGAAAGATATTCAATTTTTAAATCCACTCCTCTTATCATTGATTGGAATAAATGATTTGACATAATAAAATAAGGAATACGATTTTGTACTTCTAAGTGCGTGAGCTGTGGCATTTCCAAAATCCATTTCAATTTAGTAATGGAAAGTTTCAGTTCAGACAATTTGGTGTGTTTCGAAATAATGTAATCAAGCTGACTTTGTGTAGAAATGCGCTCGCAACGACGAATATCAAGCTTAGTTAAGTCCTTAAGTTTTTTTATAATGGAAGTCAAGTTACCAGTAGTAACATTAACACAACCATCTAAACTAAGTTCTGTTAGATTCACCATTTCATCTATATATCTTCCTGAAATTATATGTATTATTAAGCAAGTTATCATACGATAGTAATACATGAGAAAAATAAAACCATATTGTACAAAAAGAATAACATGTCAGATTAATCTTAATTATATATTGAAACATATTAACTAATATTAATTCAGTTATCAAAAAAAGTAATTTAAAATTAAATTATATATTTAAACACAAATTATTATTCTATAATTAATTTAGATAATCAAAATGCAAAAAATAACTGAGTATTATTTGATGGAATTTCTTTACTGAAGTCCTTTGCTACTATTAGAAGCTTTTTTCGTATCGGTTTATTTTATTATATCATATTATAAATTTCTATCTTTATGAAGTTTTCCATAAACTACTGACTACTATTTTCATAGAGAAGTTACGATTTTTTTACTGATTATGAAAAAAAAATTTTATATACATATATGAAGAAATATTGGTTTTAAGAAATTGATAAAATAATAGTCAAAAATATTATAATTACCTGTGATATCAGAGCTACTCTTTACAGCTAAGGAAATTAAATTAGGAATCTGCTTTATTGTTTTGAAACAATTATCATTTACGGTACAATATTCAAATTCCAATTTTGTTAATTTTGTCCAGTTGGTCGACCATTTTCTCAAAATGCCTGGACTGACTTTGATTTCACCAAATTTAATACTTTCCACATTACGGCAAAATTTTCCAATCATATCTATATACCGATCAGCATCACGCAATGGAAGGGGCCCTGCAATATTTATTATTTCATCACCAGCAATTTTGAAGAATTCATGCGCTTCAAAAATTGTAACATTGTTGAATATTACTGGATCTAAATCTTTAATTTTATTATATTGTAGAAATAAAGCTTTAAAACGATCACATGAACGAGCAAAATTCAGCTGTGCACGAAACTCCAACATTTGGAATATATATAAAAGGCAATCATCATTTAAATTCAAAATGTATGACGGCTCCATAAGTTGCGACTCAGCAGTTGATATAGTCTCCTCAACTTGTGGTTGAGTCCAACTATAGCATGGCTTTACAAAAACTTGATAACTTTTAAATGAATGGCGCGGTCTTTTTAAAACCCTAAAAATAAGAAAATATATTTATTATTCTATTCGACTTATTTTTTTTAAAAAATAAATCTTTCAAGTTATTTACCTGGCAGCTGCGTACGGATCATTAAAATTTACAAAACCCACTTTAAAACGGGCTAACTTATGGCGATCACCACGATAAAAATTCAACTGTTTGATATCGCCATACCTGGTGAAATAAACCATTGCTTCAGTTTCTGTCACCTAATAAAAACGTACAGTACTTATTAAAAAAATTAAATAATTCCACTTTATTAGTATATACATATATGTATGATTAAAAGACTTGTCCGCAGATACGCCAATATTACCACCGATCACAGAAAATTGTATTTCATGATATTATATTTTGTGAAAAATATTTGGGTGGGTTAAAGTTCCTATAAACACGAAATATTTTTCTGGTCTGCAGTATGTTGGTAAAATAACATTCTTCTAGATAATGTCCAAACAAATTTCAATTGAATTTATTATGTTGATGCCTTGCCTTATGAAGCACACAAAGGACAATTTCCTTACACAACAAAAATACGTGTACGTTTAACATTTATTGGAAGTTATTATTTAACTATATGCACTTACAATGAAAATATTGTTAGTACTATATTTCGTAACTTTTTGAAGTGATAATTTATCATCTTCAGCACTGCAACTTTCTCCGTTAATAATTGGAAATTATACTATATACGGCCGACATAATCGAAATACACACCATTATTCAATTTATATTTTATGATAAAACTCAATTCAACAAAAATTTTTGTAACATAATGCAAACATAATTTACACATTCTTTGCTATGATTTACAAATTAATAATAGGATCACACTTTATTAAAATTTACAAAAGGGTGCAATTGCACACCTGATTTGCAACAACAAATTTTGGCATTTTCGAAATTTAGCGCCAAAAGAAACGAACACAAGCAAGTGGTCTACCATTTTTAGTGAATACTGCGTTAAAGAAAAGCGACAAAAGAGGCAAAGCGACAAGACAAACCTTCATTTTTAACGAAATTATTTGCAAAACTAAACAAGCTAAATAATAGTTTATGAATTAACAATTTAATTATACAATTTACTATATCTTACCATAACAGGAACTTTATAAACAAATACATTGTATATTAATATATTATCTTCAGTATACGCCTTAGAATCTTTGAAGTAGAACTCCTGCGTTTCTCCTAATTTTAAAATTTAATTAATATAAGTAAAATAATATATTGTATCTTTACCTCTTCTGAAGTTCATTGTTTACAAAGTACACCAAAAAATGGCAAGTTGAAAGCGTACAATTTAAATATCTTTTAATGAAATTCTACAGCTTTTTGCAGCCCGCACGTTAATATCAAAAGCGACAAATGTTTTTTTTTGCAAAATATATATTAGAATCTTCGACGAACGATTGACTGCCCGCCCTTAGCACTTCAATAAAACAAAATGCAATCAGAAGCAGTCACAATCGAGTTACATTCACAATAAAAGTTGTCAAAAAAAATGTGCTGCCTGATCGTATAAAACATATACATTAATTTTTTATTTGACAGCTTTATGCTATGATACTTAACAACGAATACAAGTATCCTTGATACTTAATATATAATTGTCTATTAACATATACAAAAACTTAAATTATAAACGGTTATAATCCTTACAAAGTTTATAAGTATGCTAAGTGCATTTGAAATCGAAGTTATATATAAATTTACATTATTTAGACGATATCATCTTATTAAAAATAAATTAATAAAATTTCATTCAATTTAGCATTACAAAGTCTTATTCTTCTTTCGCCATTTTTATTGTCATCAAGAACAAGGTTTTACTTATCAAAAAGTTGAAATAAAAACTTCTGTTACAACTTCGCACTGTTACTTTTCATAAAAGTTTAAAATTTTTGCAATAGTATTTAAGATGAAATGTTTAGCTATTATTTAATTGCTAATATGAACCAATCCAATTTATAATATATATTAACATGTAAAAATTGTACTTACATCCATTTTGAAATGATCCATGTCTTGATTCGAAATGATTTCATAAATTTTGAATTTATAGAAATTTTTTTTAAATAGAATTTAAAATTTTATGTGAATTATAAATTAAAAAATTGAGAACAAGAGAAATAGACAAATTTAATTACCACGTTGGTGATAATTGAGTTGCTCACAATTATTAATAGCACAACGATCCAAGTTGAATCTTGGCTTCTCTAGACTTTGTGCATATTTAGAGTAAATATATGTATTTTTATATAGATAAGTCAGTATAAAAATATTTACTGTTTTAAAAGAAAACATATCAAAATAATAATAATAATGGGAATTGATAATTGTAATGACTCTCTGTATAATGTGTCTTCCGGTAATGATCAAAAAAAATTTTAAATTGCCACATCATTCGTCGTATAACTGTCTGTTTAATATAGTCCTTAATGCTTAAATAATATTATATAGTATATATTAGGCGTTTTCGGTAGCTCGCAAGTGCAGCAAAAACGCACGCTGGCCTATATTCGCTAAGCGAGACATTGACATCACTGTTGCAATCTGTCAAATGTTTTGTTTTCACAAACAGCAAATCTTGCATATATGCACACAAATCAAGCAAACTACATTTTTTATAAAAATAAATAATTAATATAAAATTGAAAATTAAAATGAATACAAAATTAAAAGGAATGGTAAGAATGATGAATATTTCAAAACAAAACACTGAAATTTTTCCTTTTTTCCCAATTTTCAAATATATGAAATTTTTGAATTTTGTTTAAAGTTTTGTTATATATGGTTACTATATTCGTTGAAATTGCGATGCTAAAACTTTTTTAATAACTGGTTAAAGTGTTTGGCCAGTAAACAACTATTGGCCTAGATAGAGAAAATAGTATTGTTGTTTTGCATACATTTCAGTCAGTCAACTTGCTGTTTTTTGCCACACTTGCAAGCCACCGAAAGTGCTTATTATAGAGTATAGTGGTTTCTTTGGTATGGATTTTAGTGGTAACATAAAAAAACTTCTGGTAATAATGCAATAATTGATGACAATTTATTAAAATTTTAGATCAATGCATAGTTTGAGTTTATTTTAATATTAAAATCTTCTTACATTTTTAAATAAATTATAGACTCTTCAAGCTAGCTTTGTTTTATTGCAATAAGTGATCAATAGCCCATTGCAGCTGTGCCGTTAATTACAATTAATAGTATTTATTCTAAAAGATATTTGAGTTAAGGTAATAGTCTGGCATCACTTCAATTTTTTTTTTGTTAGTTTCTCTCTCTTTCATCAAAATGACATTTCCACATTTTTTTTTTAAATTGTGCGTCGATATCACTAAAAAGTGGAGAAATATCGGAACAAAATAATATATTAAAAAAATTGTGAAAATATTTTTAATTTTATAGCTGTTAGTAAACTATTATATAAATTTCGTAGAAGTGTGAAGTGAATGCTCACAAAACTAAAAATAGTATGGAAGAAGATTGGAGGCTTGTGTGCCGAACTTGTCTCGCGTCAGACGCTGATTTTTACAATCTGAATGCGCCACTTTCAATGGATGTTGATGATGATGAAAAAATTACACATATGGAATGTTTACGATTTTGTACGCGCCTAGATGATCAAGCACTCTTTCCAATTTATATATGCGCTCAGTGCAGTTCTTCGTTACAAGTGTCTTATAGGTTCATACAAAATGCCTTGCGTTCACATACCATATTATCTGAAAAAATACTCCCTTTGGAAAACTCAACGAAAGAAAAACTGACTAATGTATGCGCGCCATAAAAATGATTTATTAAAAATTTGTGATTTGATTAATGTGTTTTTTGCTTTTTTCTTTAGGATTTAGCAAATGATTCTGCAACAGAAAATGAGATGCGCTTTCGTTGTAAAATATGTTCTCTGAAGGTTTCAAACAAAAAAAGTCTAAAGGAACACGTTAAATCGCATCTAGGTACGTTTTGCTGTTATACATATCATACGCTAAATATTCGTTCTCTTTCGGTTCTTTCTTCAAATGTTTTCGCTTGTTTGTAAACACAACTGTTTTTGTTGTAATTGATATTTGCAATTTATAATTTGTATTTTGAGAGTTTCGAAATTCGAGTTTAAAACATTTTAAATATTTTGTTGTTAGTAATATATTCTGTAGAATTTTTTTTAATATTCATATTATATAGAGTAAAGAAAAATAATAAGGTAAATAAAATGATGAATCACGTGCAACAAATATGGGCGCCAAAATATTCTTATTAGGATGCGTAATTACAAAATATATTTATATATATTTATTTATAAATATATATATATGAATATGTATTTAAATATGTTATATATTTTATAAACATATAATAAACAAACATAATATATACATATATATAATGTATATAATATATATATATATATATATATATGTATATATATATATATCATAAACATATATAAATATTTTTTTAAATGTATATAGTTATATTGTAAATGGGTTCTTATAGCCTTACTTCATAAAGAAATGTTCCATGAGGTATACAAGATGTGTTACAGGCTATCAAGTAAACATCCAAAACTTTAACATGGTGAAACCAATTGCTTTATAGTTTTAGTCATAAACGATTCAATTTTTACAAATTTTATTCTTTAAATACGATTCAGATCGTAAACATTTGTCAGAATGTAGATAATTCGTTGTATATATTTCATAGCTGGTATATAAAGTGAAATATCAAAATGGGTATTAAAATTGAAAATGATTATTTAGACTTCATTAGTTTAATTTAAATTCTTAAATAAATGATGTTAAAGATTATTCTCAATTTCTTTTTTTTTAGTGCTTTCAGCTGTCACTTTGGTTGTATTTTCTATACTCCCTTAATTGTCCTTTTTTAAATGTTGTTGGTGATTTGAAAATTATTTTTCTTGTTTTTTTTTTTGTTTTGGATTATTTTTTTTTGTGTATCCCATGAAAATCTAAATTCAATTTTATGAGCTAAACCGTATTCATTAAATTATTATTATTTATATAAATCTCGAAGTAACGAAGCCGTTAAACTATTTAACAGTGTATTTTTCATAGTAACCATTTGTTTAAAAACAATTTAGCTTATGTTTCTACACATTTTATTATGATGTAGTAACATGCCAAATGATAACTTTGCTAACTAATGTCTGATTTAAATGACAATTCCTTATCAATTTATTAATGACAATTAGTAAGGAAATTGCTAAAAATTTATTCAAAAACCTATGAAGTTTTCCTAACTATTTTATATAACCAAGCTATAAGAAACAAGCTATAAATTGACCTCATCAGCTAAGTGTGTATATTAAATTACTATTAATATATAACAATTTAATTATTTGGGATAATTATCTTTATCAATATTTTATATTTACAGATATCATTTCATTTAGCTGCCAACTGTGTGATTTCGAAACAAAAAAACGAAGTTTGTTATGTGAACATTATGAGATAATACATGGCTGTAAGGCCAAAAGAGAAGAATTAAAACCGAAAACAAACTTTGAAGCCGCAAATTCTTCACAAACAGATAATCAAATAGTCGAAGTTTATAAAGAAGTTAGTGATATAGAAAATTTAACTACAGCCACGTTACCAGAACAACAAATAGAACTGCAATATTCAACAATACCTGAAGAATGGGATGCGACACAAATAGCAAATGTTTTACAGGACAATACAACCCAAATTCAACAAATTTCTAATAATACACAAATACATCCAACACAGATTAATTTGCATCAAATTAGTACGGAACAACAGTTTCAGACGCAACTATTACCGCAACAATTTGCAACAAATATTGACGCAGCACAACTGTCCAATGTTAGTGAATACAATATAGGTAACGACTTGACCATTGGAAATGAATTTGTTGTCATGGCTGATGGCACTATGGAGGAAGTTATGAGCAATGGTAATATATATGATATATTACACGATCTATAAGAAAATAAATGTATTAATGTATTATTGATTGAATATTTCCTTAGGCGTAGTCATTGAGTACATAGATGCAGTTGATGGAAGTGTTACTTTGGACAATAACTTAGTACTGAATAATCTTTTACAAGTGGGAACTAATGATGGCATGGGCATGGACGTTGATGATATTATTATTGAAGAGAATGTTGCATCAGAAATAGCTGAAGGTAAGTAACATAGTTTCATTTTACAACATACAATTTGTTTATAAATGCTTTTTTTTAGAAAATACTAATTTTAACTCATTGTTAACACAACCAACAATAATTAACATGTCGAACATTAGCAAATCTCATTGTAAAATCTGTTTGCAACCCTTTAATACTGAAGATGATCTCAAAGTCCATTTGCTTACGCATAATGGTAAGAAGATTAGGGTCATTTATGTATTGTTTTTCAGTAGTTTTTCAGCAATTGGCTCTATCCTGATAAATTTATAAATATAAATAACGATAGGATTTATATAGATAAAATTATCTCTAGTGAAATGATTTAACTTTATATATATGTTATCGATTCTGAAAATGAGAAAGGAAACAATGTTTTTTTGTCACAAATGAATTTTAATTCCGAATGAAAATTAATTTTTATTATTTTGAGACATTGAGATAGATTGAGATTTAAACTATTATTCTGTGGTTACCAATTCAGGTTTTGGAAAGTTTGAACTATTTGGCTGTTTCTTTACTTCAAGTGACATTGATTTTTAGAAGTTTATTGAGAAAACACACAAAAGACTACATAATGGCATAACTATTATACCACAACGTTAATGTTTTAGAACAATAAGAAATTTTTCACATTAAAATTTAGGTTAAACATAACTTTTAAAAGACACAATATATTCGTGGTTTCACAATATTTTTCAATTGGTGTAAAGTCTAGTGTAATGTCTAGAGTACATGATAACCCAAATTAATATATTTTAGCAGTTTTATTTTTAAATTGATCCGTTACTAAAACTCTTGTATTTAAGAGAAAAGGCGGGTTTTTGAATAGTAGTAAAATTTAATAAAATTTTATTTAAATTAATTTAATGTTTTTGGTTAATCATATAGCTAATCCGTGTATTGCCATATACTCCTCGTCAGTGGTCTTTAGAAATATTCGTTGGCTTTATAAGTCTGTATATAATTGATTGATTAAAAGTGTTAGGCGTTAAACTCTAACCCTTTCAAATTAGACGCAATTATTACGCTTGTTTTCTGCCCGTAACGCGCCAAAGTTGGATAAAACTTTTTTATTTGTATTTAAAGTTTTTTGTTACTTTTTTTCTGATTTTCCAAAAAAGTTAGAGGTCTTATTTGATTTCAAAAATTAAATTTAATTTAAGTTGTAGAAGAAATAGAACGTATCTAAATGCACTCCAAAGCAGTTTTCAATGTTTGTCTGATGGCCTTTCTTTTTAGGAAAAACAAATAAATAATAAACTTTGGATGTGTTTCATGAAATAAGAGATTTTATTTTTAAATGAAATATTTTACATTATTATATAAAATTGAATATAGCATGGTAATGTCAATACAAGGGACATCATAGCCACTAACGAAAACTGTAAAAAAAAACAATATTAGTTCGTAAATCAGTTTATAATATAATTACTAAACGATAATATATAAATATTTTTATAATTATTTTATATATCAATTCTTTATAGATAATCTAAACGGAAGGTTAGATGTACTTAATTCTCACCATGTCAATGATAAGAAAAATGCCATTTTGATATCAGACAAAAAACCAATAAAAAAAATTAATTGTAAAATATGTACAGAAGTCTTTCCTTCTCAGGATATCCTTAAAAATCACATGTTAACGCATAATGGTATGAAATAAAATATGATAGTATACACGTATATATATAATAATTTATAATTATTGCAGAAATACCACATTTCTTCTGTGATCAATGCTCATTTTATACATTCTTCAAGGATGATTTGACGCAACATTATAAAACAAAACATAAACTTCAGCCTACTCAAAAGCAGTTACAACCCAAAAACAGAGTGGAACTGAATGAAAAGCCAAAAGCACCGCCTGTTGTCAAACCTGTTAACGTCAAGCATGTTTACGTGTGTGATTTATGCTTTTTTGAAACAGACATACGCAATAACCTTCGTCGTCACTATCTTGTAAAACATCAAGTAGAAGCAAATGACGTACAATTACGTCCCTCCCTTGGTAAAGTAAAATAAATAATAGTATCGATTTTAATTATTAATATCTCATTTTATAAACAGATGAAACAGATATGGGACTTGATTGCATATCTGATCATAATTCAAAAAGTACGAAAACTAACAAATTTGACTATACCAGTGGTATACACTGTAAAAAATGTAACAAAGTATTCTATAAGCACAGTAAGTTAAAAGCACATTATAAAGATCATGATAGGGAAACAGCTGTAAATGTAAAAGGAGTTAAGTTAGATAGTACAACTGCAGGTGGGATGAATGTAGAAGCAACTGTAACATCTGCTATCGCAATAGATCAGCATATGCCAGCGGATGCTATACCACAGGTTGTGGAAACTGATAATATTGCTGACATTGAATTCGACTTTAATGGTGATGTTCTGTTTGAAGATTTTGATGACGATAATGATAATGATGACATTGAAAACTTATTGTTAACAAGTGATGATGATTTTGAAGATTTGCTTGAAGAGCAAGCTCAAGATACAAATACAAATAATAATCAAGAACCGCTTTGTATGCATTGCAATAAAAAGTTTTTCAGCCAGTATCAATTTGAAAATCATATGTTTATACATAGAGGTAATGCAATTATATAAAATTATTTTTTTTATTAATTTATTATTTATTAATATTATTTTTTATTAATGTAATTATAGGATTAGCGCCGTATCGTTGTGAAATGTGTACAAATCTTTATAACACAAAACGTGCACTTATTAAACATTATAAAGCCATACATAATAGGATACCCACAAGAGATATGATACAAGCTAAGGGTGATATTCGTAAGTAATTCGTTGATAAAAATATTTGCAAATTAATATATTCATTTATATGTTTTCAGAGTGGTCGGAGAAAATGCCAATAGATTTTTCGAATTTAAAAAAGCAAAAAGGTAAGAAAATAGAAATATTTAAATGAATTATATGTTCTTTTTGTTAAATTTTATTTTATTACAGAAACAACGTTAATGTGCGGAAAGTGTCCGTTTGATTCAACAAATTTGAGTGTTTTGAAAAATCATTTAAAAGAGAAGCATGAAACAATAGACGGTAAGTAAAGATTTATTTACAAAAAAAAAAGCAGTTATTTGATATTAATTATTTCTCTTTACAGATAAATTCATTTTGCAAAGTAAGTTTTGTTTAACATTTATTGTATTAAGTGTATTGTAGAAACTTTTTTTTAACGGATGCGTATCGTCAGCTAACTTTGTTCAAGAAGAGTGATAAAAATGATAAAAAAATTTGGTTTTAAAAAAATGGTCTATTCAAGTGGTGTCCGTTAAGAGAGTTTTCACTGTATTATGCTTTAGCATATGTGTTTGGTTTATTGTATTTTAAATAAGCTATTTTATTATTTATTTAATAATAAAAATATATTTTAAATACATATATATATTTATTTTCGATCATTATTTTACATTCTCGTAACAAAATAATGGATGTTTTATTTGTTAATATTGTAATATTTCATGAAGCTTTATTTTTAATTGTAAATACTATCGTTATATTGTTATGGTAGAATTAAACAATACTAGTAGCAAAAATCTGTCATGTATTAACATATTTATTGCAACTTATATATAAAAAAAAAGTGTAATCAACAATAAAATGTTATTAAGCTTTGGATTTTAATAGAGCACATATATAAATTACAATACTAATCTAACGAATAACGATTTATTATTAACGATTTCTAAATAACTCTCTAAAGAGAGCAATGAGGTTTTCACAAAGCTAATAAGAATTTTTTTTTATGAAGTAGAATATTTCGTTATATTCATAATCATGTGAATTATATCAATTTAACACTAATAATATATATTCCATTCTATGCTTATATAGAACTAATGTTTGAGTGCCCACGTTGTGTACGTTCATTTGCTACAAAAAATCGGCTTTTGAGGCATTTAGATCGCAGTCATTCATCAGAACCAATTATTCAGCAACGGGATACCATTAAGGAGCAGGTTTCTGTACAGAAAGCAACATCATCCAGCTCCAAAGTTGGTAAGGATCATATAAGTTTAGGTGCAGCACAATCAGAAAAACTTAAACTATTATTGGGAAATGATATAGACGGTTAGAGATTATAAGAACTTTAATAAAAAGCAAGTATTAAAAATAATAAAACTATCTATATCAAACAGCCAATGAAACAGAATTAAAAGTGCTTAATGAGTCCCAATTGTATACAGGCATAACTGAGCCCTCATCTCTTCACACAACATTAGACATAAACATAAAGCAGCTTAAAACATCTATAACAAACAATTCTCATAAGGACATAACATCCAAGACAACAACAGACTTAACAACATCTACAACATATGAAAAAGAATTTGACGTAAATAATGCAAATGATAAGACAAAAGATTCTAATAGCTTTGTAATTAGAGAAGAAAGAACTTCTTGCAACAACGATGATATTGATATCATTATTCAATATAAATCTGAAAGTGATCCTTTGGATTCAAATCCAGAGGATATATGTGCAGTTAAACAAAACATTTCAAGTAAAGAAAAGGATTACAGATGTCATGTTTGCAATGGCACCTATAAGACGTTAATGTCTTTGAAATATCATAGTAAACGTCATATGGAACGTCAATATCAATGCAATACGTGCTCTAAGTCTTTTGTGGAACGTTACGAATTGCAACAACATAATTATACACATACTGGCGAATTGCCACACAAGTGCGATATTTGTGGGAAAAAATTTCGTTATTCATTTCATTTGAAGCGGCATAAGGATGTGCAACATTTAGGCAAACGTTTTGTATGCTCCGTCGAAGGATGCGGCAAAATTTTCACGCAAAGTTTTCAACTCAAGATACATGCATGGTCTCACAATGGATATGTTCCCTACAAATGTGTCGATTGTGGCATTGGATTCAAAAAACGTGTTTTGTAAGTAAATATTTTAAGTTGAAATCATAAAAAATTAATTAAAGCTAACACTAAATTAATATTAAAAATTATAATTTACAGATTGCGTGCACACGTTAAAGCAAAACATAATAAAATTCTCAACGAAGAGGACATTTTTAAGGCAGATGAAATCAATGACGATTTAAACGATATTATAGAGCAACCATAAGAGAGTTTTGCTAGTATGTCATGACCAATATTTATATTGATTTATATAGTTGGAATGATTCTTAATTTGCCAATAAACTATTGAAGAAAGACACAATCATTGCATAGAGCAATCCAGCGCACGAACCATCTCTTGCAACATGACAACATGACGTTACACACGGTTTTCTCATTTAAATTATTTTAGTTTCTATAAAAAATGCTTATAAAATCCATATTAGTATAATTTTGTATTTTACACATTTAAGTTTGTATATATAACTTATGTAATATTTGTCAAAAAAACCATCGTAAATTATATCTGTACATATTTATATCCAAAGATGTTATTGGCAAACCATTTTTGTCACATTTGTTATAATATATATATTAAATTAAGTTATTCCCATAAATGATGAGAAATAAAACAACATTTGATTTTTAATTAATTAAAGTTAAATAGTTTTACTTATAATTTAGTAGTAGTAATTGTAGTTTTAAATAGTTCTTTAAGTTTTAAAAAGTCGAGGTCAAAACTTGTGTCTTACATTTTTGTTTATATTTAAATGAAATAAAAATCATATTAAAAGATTAAATTGATATATTAATTATAAATGATTTAATGGATGGGTGTATTAAAGATTATAATCAAAAATTATTTAAAGGGTAGTTCGGGGAGAAATGGTTCGTTCCCACTCATGTGCATTCCTACTCTTAAAGGAGCTATAAATTAATTGTAAAAAACCAAACAAAAATTCTGGGTTTAATATACTCCTCCATAAATGCGCCAAGATGGTGACATTTTTATCAGCTTAAACTATCATAAGCGATGCCAATCATTACAATAAATAATAAAATGAAATCTGTTTATTTGTTTATATAAAATGACTCTCAATTTACCGCTGAAGCAATCTATATAACGTCTATATAAATCAATGAGTATAGTCTGACTGGAGGAATTAGTATTCCTACAAATAGTTTTTACTAAACGATCGGATAATGATAAATTGAAAAAAAATATATACAAGACTAGTGAAATGTGAGAAACGCTAGAGAGAAATTTTTTACAAATACTTCAGTTTTCTTTGAAGATTTTTGTAAATTCAATTTTGATGTTTAATTTGATATTATTAAAGACAAGGAATTTTTATAAAATCAAAAAAAAAATCAATTATATATAACATAGTAACGTTTTTGTTAAAAAGGATTGGATCAAAATGCATATACAGAATTTAAATACTAGAGTATAAGAAACTAGGATAGAAAACTGTCTCGTACGTCAAAGAAGCAGATACACTTAAAGATCTCTAGCACCTCTAGAGACTTGCTACCTTAAAGTCAAAATTGGAAATAACGAGGTTCACAATGCTAAAATGGAACCCCAAAAAATCAAGAAATTTTCTTTCCATATGAAAAGATAATAATCGCAATTTCCAAAAACTGTCATCAGAGGATAATGTCTTTAGAATCGACATATCTTGAGAAGGGATATTGCATTTAGTGATTTCTGCTGAAGCTATGGTGATGAAAACCAAAAATAACCAATGAAACATCTTCGCTTTTCACCACAAAAGAAAAAATAGTAATATAAAGTTAGTATCAGTTAAGATAGATTTATTTTATATCTAACCTCTAACGACTATTTCAATTTGTGATAAGGCGGTTCAATGATAGTTTATAATTTGATTAGGAGCCCCTGGAACTAGATGGTATTATAACTATCTAATTAGCGTGTGTCGATATCCAAATTCTTATAAGACTGAATAATGTAAATAACTGGAACGGGATTTTTAACTAGAGCCAGAATATTTAAAAAGCCTGACTATAACAAAGCTATACTATTCTTAAGCGATTATGAGTAGAACATCTTTTAGCTTAATGGAAATTAATTAAATTTTCTGATATAATTTCATTTTTGAAGTTTCAAATTTAAGTTATTTACATCGAAAATTCAAAATAAAATTTTTGGTAGATATATCTTTCTATAAATTAATGGTTGTAAAAATTGTCTGAGTTATCAAAATTTAGTGAATTTCTAAAAACTTTAATGAAAATAAACGTAAGTATATTATTCGCCGTAAAATACATTTAATTTAGCTACATCTCGGTTTTTATAGTTTTAGAAAGCAATCCGAATATTAAGTTGTTATGTTCATAAATATGTGGAAATACTGCACGTCTTGGGTTGGTCGCCGCATTGCGGTAATATCACAAATCGTGATCAACAAACTCTTATCCATAACGATGCTATTATTTTCAGCTATTGCCTTGTACTGTTTTATATATTACATCCCATGGGATTCTATAGCAATGTATGACGGTTATCCTTTGCTCTTGCGAGAATATGGGAAGCAGTTATGCGTGTTATGGCAAAATTTACTCGATATATATAAAAAGTATACTCTTCTCTTCTGCACGGTGGTTATGTCCACAGTTGGGTATTGCATTTATGCACTTCGTCGCTTGTATGCCGAAGAAAAGGAGTCAGAACAAACGGAAATAGCACGGTTGCAGGACAAAGTCGTTGACTATGTTCTGCAAGAGTTACAGAACACAAATTACTTATTTGTTACTCAGGATGATGTTGACTTTATGTATGAATTAATGACGAATGATGGTTTGATTAAAAAACATTTTATTAGCGCCCTTAGGGTCTTTAGACAAGCAGAGAATCGCAGCTTTTGTGAGCTGATCATACATAACACAGACGCACAAAAACTATGCAATGCTATAATATCGGCCTTACGGGATGATTAGAAGAAAGATATATGTATTAAGAAATAAATTGTTGTATTTTTATTAAAAGATCGTCAATGTCATTTACTAAGTGAAATATTGAAAATATCCTCAATAGAAAAGTCCATTATTTACATCCTGCTCTCTAAAACAAATATAATTGAAATAAAAAGAAACTAGCGGACATGTGTACAGAGAACAATAAACTAGGAATTGGTTCTAATAGTAGCATACATATGAATTAGCTGGTTTAAATGAATTAATTTCACGAAAGCAACCTCATCCCTTCATTTCACATATTCAGTTAGTGCTCAACTTCACTCAAATTTATATATAAAAAAATATCAGCAAGCTAAAATTTCAGTTTACAACTCTGAAGAGAAATTTATATTAACTTTTATTTTAATTTCAAAGAATGAACGTATTTCTTAATTAAATATAATTGCTACTATAGTTGAATATAATTTATTAGCTTGATGATATATTTGGCATTCTTTTACTTTCTTAACTATACGCTACTTCGCAGACGAACTGTTGTGGATACTGCTAATATATATTCTCTAGAAACTCTAGATAACTTAATTCCAGAGCGTTAAATCACAAATTGTTATGTATTGTTATGTTTACATAACGACTATATATAACTATATTTGTATATATCTTTATTTTTATTTATGTATATTCCGTGTATTATCAGACAATCTTTTACTAAAAACAAGTAGTAATTATTTTGAGGTTATGAACACATTTGTCTTGGAATTGCAAATATGTTTGAAAATACTTTATATTACTTTTTTTTGAATTAAAGATATATACCTGAACTTTGTTTGGGTAGCGAAGACATCGGACTTTATTTGCAATTTAAGCTAAAAAGAATATAAAAATGAAGTTGTGAAATATTTGAGTTTTTACACATTTTTTACCAAAATCCGGTGAACTATTAAAATATGTTAAATAATTGCTGCTCTGTTGGGTGGTGCATAGGAATTTGTACGAAACCTCGAGACGAAGTTTACAATCAATGCACATTACTATAGGATGATGTTCACCTTTAACATATAATGGATACTCCGTGCGGGTTACTTCACGCAGGCACACCAAATAGGTTTTTGTTGTACCAGGCATTACACCAAGAAGCGAAACTTTCTTACCAGTTTTGCTTAGCAAGCACACACCGCAAACTTCAGGATAACAAAACAGCATTTTGTTCATTTAATATTTTATGATTAGTAATAGGTGCCTTGTCAACTACTAACTAATAAAAGAAGAGCCTATCTTAATTTAAGCACTCTCATTAATGGCTGACGGAAGAAAGAACAATGATAGTTGGCGCTAAGTTTCGTTCAAAAAATCCAGTGTTGGCATTTAAATTGTAATAGATGCGCACAGGGTGTTTTCGAAAAACGTCACTTAACAAATGTATTTTGTAATGCATGTAGGGGATATACTCTTTGCTATCATACCGAGATTTTAAAGCACAACTTCAAGTTTATAATTATTTTCTTAATTATTAGTATTTAAGTTAGAAATAAAATTGTAAATATTATTACTCCCTTCTGGCGTTCACACAACGACAAGCAAGTTGGAACTTTGTCGGATAAACTAGTAGTGATTGAAACCTCCATTCTCTTATGATCATTCTTTTCTCATAACATCTGCATATAAAAAGAGAGACTATATAAACTATAGACGTATATTCAATGGCAAACACTAACTCAATTCACCTATTCTCAATTTTTCTAATATTAAATGGTCTATCTCGAAGATACTTCGGTAGATGTGATAACTCTTTTACCTGACATACTTCACGCAGTTCAAATTCCTAATGAACTGCTTTACAAGATTTTAATGTTTCTTGGTTATCAGTTTACCATGACCAAATACCAGAAGTAGAATCAGAAGTAAAATTGTTTCAATTCATTCAATCAGGAATAAGGATTTCGTATTTTCTACTGTAGCGATCTCCACTAGATCTGTACTATCGCATATTTCTATGTCGGGAAACCATCTATAGATAGACTTCCATACATATTGGTAATAGACTGTAGTCTGGCTGTACTTAAAGTTGTTGTCTTTTAAATTAAGTGATGTGGAGGGGTAAGTCCCTCTATCAAAAAATCTAGTATTGACATTTAAATTGTAATAGATCGCCTTCAGTCCTGTTGTGGTAAAGAAATATACTGTACCTGTAATATAAATAATAGTAGATCTTGGCAGCACTTTGTTCCATCAAAATACACTTTCTTAAGATAAAATAGATTAGACAATTATTCAGTAAATTAAAGAGTTACTATAAGTCTTTATGTTTCGATCGGATTTGACAATTACGTTTTCTTGGTGAGTGTTTTAGCTTAAATGTTTGGCCAGTTCACACCAGTATCTTATGTAGAGTGGATCGCAGTCACAATGAGTTCTATTCAGAGGTGCGAAGTATAACTCATAGTAAAACAAGTCTCAAGAGCTTTTATTAATGGGTCAAAAATGACCTAAGTGCATTTTTGTAGTAACACCGAGCCGATTAGTCATTTTATTATCACTTATTATCACTGTCCTGTATGTCAAAAATATTACCATATAGTGCACATTTTTCTTATTAGTATTTAATGTCTTATAAATTATAGCCACTATGAGTAGAGGTTCAAAGCTCTTGCAATGGCTCTATAAGCTAGTCCAATTAGACTCTGACTTATTTATTGTGGTTGGTAAGAACCTATGTTTGTCTTATTAAATTAGCATCTCACCTGTTTACGCTAATTATTCTTTCCATCAAAAAACCTTACCATATACTATAAAAGTTCCATCAATCGAGCTATTCTAAAAGAAATTTACAAGTACGTCATCTAAATGGTTTAGAAGTCATATTGATTTCTTTAAAATTTTCCAGTGGCCTGGTAAAAACAAATATTGTACTTGTGTCAGTTTATTTTTCTGGGGCAATAAACTTTTCCTTATTGATCGGATATACTAAGAGTTTGGAACCTAATATATTAATGGTCAGAAATGGGTAAACATTATATATCATTTTGTTTTTGTGATTCAAACTCCAATTTAAAACGAATGCACTTATTAACAGTAATTCGCTTCAATTTTTCTTGACGCGATAGGAGATATGAAAAAACGTTTAATAGTTTTAAGAACATTCTTAAATTGATTTCAAAGATATATTTTTAATTTACAATTCAAAAAAATTATTTTATTTCTAATTTGCTTTAATTTGCACCCTGAATGAATTTTGATAAGAAATCGGTTGGCTTTGGATCTTGGGATTCCTTCCAATAACGCATTATATGTCCCTTTTGTTTCCATATTTCAATGGATTCCTTAAGTTCCATTTGTCCCTGCAATGTACAATGTATAAGAAACGTTAATATTAAAATCCAGAACGTTTATGAAATAAATTTTTATATAAATATTGTGAAAATTATATTTTAGATCAAATTATAAATGTATATAATTGAGGAGTCCTACTGGTATTGTCCCAATTGGTAGGAATGACCTACACTGTGTAATGACTATTACAACAACAAAAAAGACTGGTTCTTTTGCTTGTTGATAGGTGACACTTTAAAGCCAATGGGGGTTAAGAACCATAAAGACGGATCACTATATACAGTAACTAATGTTTGTAATAGAACAGCTTCACTTCAAATATAATATACTATAAAAATTGTTTTGAAACAACTTTATGCAAAATATACAGTTTGAGTAACTAATGCACTGCTTCAATCGTCCAATTGATGGAAAAAACAAAACAAAAGTCCCCACACTGGGGAGTTCATCGTTTTAAAGGATACTGGGTTAACACAGTTTACAGCAAGTTAAAGCTTAAAACTGAAATATATATATAATTATGATTTATTAACAAATGGGCTCACCTTGATAACTAGCATATCAATAACGCGTATATCAGTAACGTTGCGATGCTTTTCGAATTCTTCTCGCAGTTTTTCACGGCATTGGGGAACTGACTTTGGTATATCATAGTCCATAACTATAAATTATAAAACAGAAAGAAGTATTCAATATGCCGTGCATAATGCGTTTAATTCAATTTGTTATTGGTTTTTAATATATTAACCAATTTGTTGATGACATAACAAAAGTGCACTACAGCTATACTTACCAATATACGGAATTTGTCGGTACCAGGCTTTGTACAAATTTAAGGCACGCTTTCGAGCCTCGTCACGATTTATTGATAAAATTGGACGTACTTGTTGTACAGCTCTTTTAACCGCTTCCCTGCTTGATGCAGCCATTCTTATACAAAATCTATTGACAACAGTATTTCTTTAATATTTTATTTAAGAAATTTTGTTTGACGTTTGTTAAACAGCTGTTACAGTTTCAGATATGAAGTTAGTGGCGTTTATTCAAATATTTAGTATTAAGGGCACAGTTTGAGCGGTGTAGTAAAATACAGTGAGGCTAAAATTTGGATAGTTTGAAAATTTAAATTCAAATTTTTAAATCGAATTTCATATTTCTACATTGATAAGTTTATTTCATATTGTACGCATTTTAATTGTTTTATATATATTATTATATCTCAGAAATTGTTTGAAAAAAGTTATTATTTTTAGAAACAAAATTAAGGTAATCATAAAAACGACTAATATTCTGGTCTACGGAGCACACTGCGAAGATAATCAGCACAATTAGTGTTGTAAGCCATTGAATTCCTTCTTATAAAAGATCTGCTAACAGAACTTTAAGAAGCAACTTAACAACCAATCAAACTTTTATTTCAGTTTATTGCTTGAAACCTGCCAATAGAAGTGAAATGGAAGTGGTTCGGTGTATCGTTTCATTAAAAACACATGAATTCCGCATCTCTATCTTCAATTTAACTCTAAATTAAATTATTAATTAATTAATTAATTAAATTATAAAAATGGAATTGTAGCGATCACAGTTGACGCCACATCATCGTAAATATCCCACCAGTAAACTTAATTTTGTTCTGTAAAGAAGGATACCTTACCGTAACTGTAAGGATGAACCAGCTCTTTAGCCTGACGTTTACCTGGAATGTCATGCCAGCAACTTTTTTCGGTTGAAAACCATGGCAGATCCTGACCTCGCAACATTGTTTACAGACTCATTATCATTGATTGCTGTGTGACCAGGCACCCAGCAAAGTATCTTAATCCATAAATCCCATTTAACTCTCAAAAAGGAACTAATATTTTTTTCAAAATATATGTTCGAAGTGCGTAAAGCGCTTCTTTACTTTAGTAAACATATTACACATATAATAATAAAAAATACTTTAAAATGTTATCTATAGCGAAGAAAATGTGACCGTTAAGTTTGTGCTACATTAAAAAATTCATGATTAAAATTTGGAATATATTGGCTTGTTTGGAAGCTAATAATCTACAGGTGAATACTAATTTAATTATTAGAGTTATAGATCAATAATACTGTCTTTTGGATTGAATGGATTTAAATTAATTGTTTTTTCTTACTTTAGGATCTAATAGCAACGTTTATACATTATCCGATTGGTCACAAATTTATTGTCAAGTAGTTTTATAAGCGTTCAAATAATTTTAAAAGATGAAATTCAACATCCAAATACGTTTTCTTTAGCACCACATCCTCATGTACAAAACACGATCATATTTCTTAGCTTCATACATTATGCGACCACCCCAATGTATTGTTTATATACAGCACACGAAGTTTGCTGCCAGCTGTCCACTCTTGTGACTGCCGATTCGACTCTGGAGTGAAGAAGTCGATTCAAGTCTTTGATATTTTTACATATTTATGCAAAATCTTTTCTTTGTATTTCGCTACAGTAGCTCCAAACAGCTGTCAGAATCATCGATACATCGTTTGTTTTTGATTACCGGTCTGCAAACTCGGCACCCACTTCGGACAGATCTTCTTATAGACAAATGTTCATGCAGAATGAAACTGATAATTTTGTTTTAAATTAAAAATCTTTTTTGTTTTGCTTGGTGAAAACTATGAATGGTTTTTTATGACCTTTGTTCCTTGAACATTTTAAAATGAATTATTATTTTTAATAGAATGAGTTAAGTAGGTTAAGATAAGTGATAAGTAACCATTTTGCTAAACCGGGACAAGTTTAACAGTTTCCATAATACGTCATGGGAAATAACGAATGAAAAAATATGTTAGATAATATTTGTTTTAAATAACTTTAAAACGTATATGTGTATACAGAGAATATACAAAAAAAATCTTTAATAAATGGTAGTTCAATAATGATATATCATTTCGTTAAATTTCATCAATCATTGTTTTATCCAACAACTTCACCTATAAAAAAAGGCAAAAAAATTGGCATACTTAAATCACCACATGTTTACTAAAGTCTTTTGTGTTTAGTTTATAGTATATTTGAAGTTCAAATCATAAAAAGTTACACAGTGCGATGTGACACAGTTCCCAGCATTACACTTTCGTATTGCAATTGAAATGTTACGTGCAATTGAATTTTATTTTCAATGTCATTGCTTTACATTCACGCAAGTTACCACCTTTTGACACTCAAAAAAAGTATTTGCAACAATAAAGATACAAAAAGAGTTTTTCAATTACCATAACAAATAACATAAACCCAAATAGAAAAAAATGTTCAAACACTTGCAGTTAAAAAGCAAATAGGAAAACTTGATTTACATCCTCAATGCACAAATGCAAATGCAAAGTGTCTTTCCCACTCAAACACCACCTTACATACTTCATTAACTGGTTGTTATTAATAACTAAGAAAAAACAGAAAAAACAGAAAAAACACAAGCAACCACACACAACGACACACAATGATTTTTTTGCTTTTGTTTTTCTTATTGTTTTTGTAAAAGTTACTTGTGCTTAGCGTTCAAATTGCGTAGCACTCATACGCTCCCTTGTACTCCCCAAGTTTACTCAAATGTTTTATGGATTTTTATTAAATAATTTTTTTTATTCTTTCACTGCGTTTGTTGGTAAGTTTTTGTTGTTTTATAAAATTTTTTCATTAATAAACACAACAGCTAAAATAACAATCCCAACAACAAGCAAATCGTCTATGGCAAAAACAAATTCAATAAATATGCTAAAAAATATTATTAAGTACAGAAATCATAAAAATAATAAAAGCAAAAATTATCAAATCGATATTATTGTCTGGATGTATATGTGTCTGTATTTCTTTTCTTCACATTAGTATTGTTGCTGTTGTTTTTGTTATTATTATTGTTGTTGTTATTGTTGTTGTTATAGTCTTTATATTAATTTTACTACCTTTTTGCAGTTTTTATTTATTTATTTTTAGTTTTTTTTTTAGGTAACTTTTTTCTAACTTCACTTCATTGCTGTCGCATACACAACGATTGCTTTCAGTATTCAGTCAGTAACGTTTCTGCTGTGTGCCGCTTTAGTCAGTTTTTTTCGATATCGGTCAAAATTTCAAAAATAAGAAATTAAACGTTTAAACGTTGAGCAGTAAAATATTTAAAAGTAAAGAAACGAAATATTATTTGTGTGACATTTCTTTTTTACAACGAAAAAGGGTACGTTCGCTCGTTCGTTCGCCCGCGTTAAACCAAATTTACAAAGTATTTAAAAAGCTTTTCATGTTTATTTTTGTTGTTGTTCAGTTAAAAAAAAACATTTCAATTTGAGTTTAAAAAAATTAATTTCCAAAAATATTCATATTATGTTGTTGCTATTTTTGTTGTTGTAATTATCATATATGTGTTTATTATTTGTTTTTTCTTAAATATTTTTCATTCCTTAGTTACAAAAAGTAGCAAAGTATTTGGAACGTAGCAGTTAAATTTTTTTCTTAACGCTTAATTTTTTTTTTGAATTTTTCTAATTTTTGTGTTCGTGACTTTGACTTTTAAAGTGTTATATCGTACGAATAATTGCTATTGTTGTTGTTGTTGTCGCTTGCTGTTTGGTGTATGGAGCTGCTGTTAGTAGCATTGTTTGCTGTTGCTTTAACGTTTTTTGTTTGTAAATTTGTTGTTGCACTTGCCGTTTTTCGTTATTTATTTTATTATTGCTCACTTGTAATCGTCTTAAGTTCTTAATATTATATTGCTTTTTTTTGTTTCCACATTTTGTACCGTTAAAGTTTGAAAAGTATTTGAAAAAAAGTTATCTTAATGTGTTATTAAAACTGCCAAAAATTGATATATTAAAAATACATTAATTTTATTTTATTTATTAAGCATGTTTATTTAATCTGTTGATAAATGCTTAAGTATAAACAGAACTTCATTCTTGCTTATTTACACAATTGAAATAATAAAAATTAAAATAATATTTTGCAGCTTAAATTTGAAAATATTCAGCGCACATTGAACACATCAAACTGAACCATAGTTCAAGCAATTTGAATAATAGTTCAAAACAATTAATTAAGGAATAGTTCAATAAAGGTAAGTGTTAATTATTGCAATAATTGCATTAGTGTTAGTGTTTCAATTAGTATTTGCAATTTTGAAAATATGCAAATTATTTATTGACAAATTTATTTAATAAATTAAAATGCAGTTAAAGAATATTTGAAATTTATTTTAAGATTAAATGATAAATTTTATTATTTTACTATTCTTTGGCACTATGCGTTTTATAGCAATGTGTGGTAATTATTATTATTATAATAATAGATCTATAAAAGATCTATTGTGTCTCTTAATCGTGTTAGAGTGTTTCTCCAAGTCCGATTTCTTTAATAAAAGACAGTATAGAGCCTATCTTTCCTAGATTTAAATCCTAAAGATCCCTGAAATACCCTTCTAGGAAATACTCTTGAAAAACACCATTTTCATATTAGGTGCAAATGTGTGGTAAACAATATTTTCATTATTTCGATGTTAGATAATATTTATGTTGTTTTTTTTTTTAACTATTTATAATTTGCTTATTTATCAGCAGAAAGAAATTTAATTTTAAACGCAGAATTGAACCAATATTTAAAATATTACACTTTGGCGCTGTTGTCTTCATTCAAGGATTTTAATAAAAAACCTTAAACTCTCATTGAATTGTTTTTTCCAAATTGAAGAGCTTCACTTAGACGAACGGAATTATTTCAATTTATTTGTGGTCAATAAAGTTATTTTAATTTTTTATTTCAAAGAAAAATAACATAAGCATTTAATGGGAAAACAATTTTTAGTGTTTCAATAAAATCCCCTTTTAATAATCAAAATGGAAAAATTTATTGTCTTATAATAGAATTTAACAGATAATTTAAAAACAAATTTAATTATGGGAATCTAAAAATATCTAATGATTCATAGTTTTAATACTTAAATTTGAAAAGTGTAAAATTTTTTGGAAGATAAAGTAATGTATAGCACTGCGTCATCAAG